TTTTTTTACTTTGACTATTTTTTTCAATTTCTTTGCTACAGGCTATTAGAAAAGGAAACAAGCAAATTGTAACTCTGTTTAATGTTATTTGCGACTTTTATTGACAAAATTTTTGCACCTTTACTAAATAATTATAAAAAAACATCACAAACATCATCAGTATCATTTTATAGACATAAAAAAGTGACAGATAGAATTTTTTTAACATTTTTCCATGTTCCTGGTATCTAATCTTACTTGATTTGGGCGACTTCTGACACACCCTGTATACAGGACGTAATAAAATGTAAATATAAATAATAAAATAACCTGAGATTCCTCAAGTCAAAATAAAACAATTTAACCCAACTTGTCTCTATACTAAGTTTATAAACGCCAGTAAATTTACTTTTTTTGTTTAAATTAATGATAATTACATTACTGCTAACTAACACCAACATACATAAAGAAATTAAAATCTAAAACCTTTTTAATACAATTCTAAAAACAACAATAATAAATAACCAACATCCAAAATTTTGACACGTTTACTTATATTATTTTTTACTCTACAAAAATTTACATACAAAAATTGTTTAAAAATAATATACCTTTCAAATAAACAAAAAAATACGCCTCTCGGATTATGTATAACAAAACTATGGTCAAACTGGTCCACGACGTTAAAATTAACAACTACCTAATTATGTAGAGACAAAAGATATAAGACTACAAAAACATACAAAAACATTATTTAAAAAATGCAATTAAAAATTGTGAACAAATTGTTTTTTTTACTTTTCAAGTGTCCTCTAGGAATAATTTTAATTAATTAATTTAATTCAATTCAAAAATTTAAAATTGGTTAATTTCAAAAGTGCTGCTAAAAAACGATGAATAATGGCCGAAATTACTCAAATTTATTTGTTTTAATTTTAATGTTTCGCGTCTTTAAAATTTCTCTATAGATTTTTAATAAACATTTTAAAGTAAAATAAAAAAAAAATTAATGGTTTTAAAAAAATTTATAGATAACTTTTCCTAAAAATTTATCATTTTTTCCGTCACCTTGACCAACATATCTTCCGTATCTTTATACATCAGAGTTGAAATTTAAACATTTTATAAAAAGTAGCTATTGCGTATCAGAATACCATGTTTTAAATATTTCCTACTAAGTAGTAGAATAATAAGATATTTTAAAATCAGGTTTTTTTTGTTTGTTGTCATTTTATTTTACGCTTTCAATTTTGAATCATCTAAATGTGTTTTTTAATCATCACAAAACTACTATAATATATTAAAAAACAAGTTTCATAAGACCAGTTTTAAGGCACGAACTCAAATTTAAAAAACGAGTGGCGCAGCCACAAGTTATTTTAAAGAATGAGTGCTTTAAGGTATTACGAAACGAGTATTTTATACTATTCTTTTGTAATTTTCCATCTAATTTTAAATGATTTAGTTGCCTTTTCATGTTCTTTCATATATCTATTAGAGAATCAAAATAGAGACAAATTACAAAAAACATAATTATAACTTTATAACCCAAAAATCAAAATATACAATTTTTTAATACATTCGTATTTCAAATTGTATCTTAAAAAAATATTTTTTATTCTGTGCGAGTCTAATTATGATCACAATTCCAAATTGTGGGTAAAAATGTTTTACAATTTTTTGTTGGTATTTTAAAATTTTTATAATCAAAATTTGAGACAAACAAAAAAACAAGATTTTTTTTTTTTAGATTTTTATTAATCATTATTTAATTACAATCCCCATTATCTTACAAATCCGCATTATTGACGTACAAAATTTTTACAACAATTTCATTCAATCAGGATTTAATAGATAGATACATCTTTCCCTTCAGTGTTTGTTTCACCGGATTAATTTTCTTCAAAATTTGTGTCATAATATTAACAAGTTGTTCACTAGAAAGTCCAGTTTTTTTCGATTTAAATTTCTGCAAGAGCTCCGTTGTCGTCATCGGCTTCCTCATCAAATATTTCCTAACAGCATCTTCAGTGATTCCAGACTCACTAAAAACAAATTTTACACTTTCCTCAATCAAACTAAAATCAATTAAGAATACCTCGAGCCAGCAATGTAATTCGGTAAATCTAATTTCTGTTTTTTTGCAGACGGTCCTGCCATTACATCATTAACTAATTTCCGCTTGTTATCAGTTGGTGTTGCAGATCTGGAACTATTTGCACTGTTTGCTTCCCTCTCTTCTTTTTTCATTTTCTTTTCATTTTTCTTCTTTTTCGTTTCTTCATCCGTGCTACTATCGGAACTAAAATCACTGTTTGACTCTACAAGAACAACCATAAAAAACAAAACAAACATCGTAAATGTATACCTTTCTCTTTCTTTACTTCCTTTTTAATCTCTTTTTTGTTCTTCTTTTTATTCTTCTTCTTTTTGTCCTTGTCAGTGCTCTCCTCAGTTTTCTCGCTTTCTTTCTCTTTGTTTTCTTCGTCTTCATTACTTTGTTCTTTATCTGATTTATCTGAATCATTTTCGGAACCTTCATCCGATGTTAGTAATTTGCGTAAAGCTTTTTCTTCAGCTACACTCTCTAGATTTGTATTTTCAGGTTCGCTCTCTGAACTGTCACTGATATAATCCAATTCTCGTCCCTCGCCGTCTCCATCATCGGAATCTTCAAATGCTTCAACATCAGTGTCTCTCTTCTTCTTTTTGGTATCAACTTTCTTTCCTTTCTTCTTCTTTTTCTCTTTCTTTTCTTCTTCCTCTTCTTTTTCCTCTTCCTCAGATCCTTCATCATCTGAACTGTCCATCCATTCGTCCATATCAGATATTTTCAGTTCCTTTGACTTCTTTGCGTTCTTTTTACCTTTTTCCTCTCCTTCGTCGAGTTCATTATCATCTTCTCCTTTCAACCTCTTTCTCAACATGAGTGAAAAGTAGTTCAAATGCTTATTGCGTTTATTAAATTCTTGCTCAGCTTCTTCAGCTGTTAGAGCTTTGTAGCGTTGAATGGGCTGAAATTTGTACCATTCGTGTAATGGAAAAGCCTCAATTGCCCCATCAGCAGCATGGGTAAACACATAATAGGCTGTATTTTCCGAAACGCCGCCTTCCCTAATCCCTTTGAATTTTTTCACAGTGCTTCCGTAAGACTTCAAAATCCAGGGTTGGTCCTCAGGGCGGTATTTTCTAGCAACTATTCCCAGTTTTTTACGACGTGCTTCCTCCTTAGCCTCGCGACCGAATTCCGAACCTGCACCAAACCTACTCACCAGTTAAATTAAAACAACAAATTGCTCAAAATTACTTTGGTTGTTCTTCCTCTACACTTTTGTACTCTTTCAAATTGTTCTCTCTTTCCATCTTGACCTGCGTCCACTTTGCGAAATCCACCTCAAGATTGCCATTAAATCGCATCACGTGATAGCGTTTCTGGACGTTTTTCGGTACTTTAATTGTGTATTCCTTGACTCCGGCGGGGGGCTGCGACTGCTTCTGTTTAAATAAACACAAAATAAACTATTTGCGGGACCTAAAACTGTATTTTACACTTACGGGAGCCGCCGAACTTGATGCCATTATGGCCTAATCACAAATCACAAATTAGAAAACTAAATAAATTAAAAAATTCTTTAATTAGAAACCTCTTTACAACACAGCTGTCAATAAATGTCAGTATAGAGGTTATGTCCACAGAACAAGTTATGTCGGTAACACAGATGCCTTACTAAACGCGGAGTAGCCTAAACGCGTTAAGTTTTTGGTCAATTTAGGATTTTAATGTTGCATTTCTACACCTAGCAGAAAATTTAAATGTAAAATAAGATTAGCATTCCTTATAAATTACCAACTTAAAACCTATGCTATTATAGAGTTTTTCACGTCGATTATGATAGTATCTGACTTTTTCCAACAACCCTAATAGTTCCGCCGTTTCAAAAATAGAAATATCCAAACTTTAAACACGTTTTTTCCAAAAATGGTAAGACTTACTACAATTGAAAAAATTATTCAAATCTAGATTAGATTAAATATCTACACATGTAGTCACAAAAACCCGGAGTCGTTCGAAGTTTTACAAAGTGATCAAGAATGAATGAATCTGTTGACAATCCTGACTTTAATTTTTAAAAGAAACCACTGGAGTATGCTTCTGATTAACAACAATTTAACAATCTTGAGGGGTTGTACATCAACTATTTGTCAAGCAAAACGGTATCCGGTTGCAGTGTTACAAATTATTAACAAAAATGCTTTCAAATCTGTTGCCAACTTAAACAATCCTAAATGATAACGCTGTAGTTGGTAATGAAACATTTAAATTGTTACAATTAAAAAAATTGATAACTCAAAAAGTATCGGTCCTAAGTCAAAATGCTTTGCACTGGCAAAATCCCCGAATCATTTTACATGATTGGCTAAATTTTAGTAAAATTAATATTTTTTATTTCTCGAATTTAGTTTTTCGTGTTCCCAGCATTTATACTAAACGTCCTTTTAAACAACAATGTTGCTTCTTTGTAAAAAAAATGCCACTGTAGAGCCAATTTTTAAACTCTCATGAAAACGGTAGTGAGTGGCAGACTTTTTAAGTTTTTGGTAAATTTAAGTTTTTGCATTACTCTAACTGGGGGTAAATATAACATTAGTATTTCTTACAAATTACTCACATTACCTTAAAAAAAAAAATTCGAGATATTAACTGAAAACCTTTGCCGTTATACAAATACCAGAATCGAACATGGAAAAAATGTTAATAAAAATTTTATCTATAAATTTCGAAATCATGAGAACTTAAATTTTGCACTTTGACTCTATTTATTTCTGTTTGAAAAATAATTTTCCAAGTTTTTTGCTACAGGCTATCAGAAGAGGAAACAAGGAAGCTGTATCCTAAATTGTAACTCTGTTTTATGTTATTTGTGGCTTTTATTGGCAACATTTTTGTACTTTTATTAAATAATTGTAAAAAAACATATACAAAATCATCAGTATCATTAAATAGACATAAAAAAGTTAAAAGTCAAAAAATAAATGTCAAATTTTTTATCAGAGAATTTTTTAAACATTTTTTCTATTTTCCTGGTATCTTATCATACTTAAAATTTTTCTCTGGGACGCGAGTTCTGGCGCACCTTGTATACTCTTTTTCATATTAAAGTGCATCAAGTAGGTTGTAGAAGTCTAAATGGCATCTTTAATATAAAGGCTGATTCACACAAAAAGTGTCATTAATGTCATTCAGAACAAATTTAATCACATCAATAATTACGTTTTAATTTTAATTATTTTTTGCTACCTCAAAAACTGGGGTGCACATATTTATTTAAGAAAATAATTTTTGAGGAAAGATTGAGGATGGGATTGTTTGAATTTTTGCATGGTTGCCACCTTAAAATGAACCCTTTCAACGACTACTTCGATGAAAACGATTATAGAGTTTTTCACGCTGACCTGACTTTTTCCAACAATCCTATAATAGTTCCGACGTTGAAAAATGCAAATAATGTTCTTTTTTTCAAAAACTATTTATAAGTCTTACTACAATTAAAAAAATTATTCAAATCTAGGTTAGATTATGTAATGTTTTTGACATTTGACAGCCTCTGATATTTTAATACTAAAATTAAAAAATAAAGTTTCTTATGATTCCATAAAGAGTATAAATATTAGCCTCAAAACAGTTATCCTCATTAAAAATAAAATTACAAATGACCTACTTGACGCCAAAATACACTTTTTGACGTACATACGTCACTAGACCTGCGTTACTTTAATCGCATTTGTTAAAGTGAGATAAATAGCGTGACCGACCTTACACAAATAGGTAGTGATAGAGCAACGAGCTGTTTACAAATGTTGAAAAGAGATAGCCATAAGTACGTTTTTAAAATTTTTAATTGATCCATACGCATATAATAAAAAATCGGACTGTACCTAGTCACAAAAACCCGGAATCGCTCGGAGTTTTTGTTTAGGGTAATGAAACATTTATATTAAATTCTTACAATTAAAAAAAAAATAACTCACAGACTATCGATCCAGCAATATCCCCGATCATTTTACATGATATGTTAAATTTTGACAGGATTTGAAAATTTTTTATTTTTCGATTTATTATTTCGTACTCCCGGAATTCATACTTTTTATACCTTTTTTTTCCAAGCAGCGGAAAATTTTTCTACATATTGATGAACGTCACCCAATGTTAACATTTCATCACAAAATAATAAATAAATCTAAGGCCTCAAATGCCAACATTAGTTACGAAAAAGAGTCTCGTCTTGGCTAAAGTGAGACGTTTTTGATCTAAAATTACATATGTGACAGTGCAGTGACGTCGAGACGCCCGTCTATAAGCGTTTAAAGATCACGAGATAATTTTCACTCACAACATTTTCAAAATAAATTAGTCTCAGTAAGACTTCATCGGATCGATTTGACCTCCTCTTCACGATTCACTCGAGTGTAATTAAACCATGTGGATGATAAATCAAAGCACAACAGTTTTATTTATGACTCTTGTCTTATATTTGTTACACAAAATTAAAGCCAGTCCGACGAAACAAGTGACACTTGAAGTACCTTTCGGTGAAACTGTTACTTTGGTGTGTGGCAGTAATGATGAGGACCATACGTTTTTCTTTTGGTTCGTCGGCGAGAAAAATATTTTCGTGGGGCCGTCTTATCAGTACGACAATGCAAAATTTAAATATGAAGTGCTATCGGGAAATTTAACAGTGAAGGTGAGTTCAAGGTGCATTGACTTGAGCGCGTCAGAAATTAACATTTGTACATTTTTTTTAAATTTTTTTAAAGGCTGTTTCAAAAGATGAGGAAGGTGTCTACAATTGCGTTTCTCGAGGAGTTTCAAAAGAATCAGTGAATATTCGTTCCATCCGGATGATTGTCAAGGCGGACTGGGAAGATGTTTACGAGCATGATCCTAATGTATGTACAGATAAGAATTCCAAATTCATAAATTATTTAAAAGTAGAAAATTGTATACATAATTCTTTTTCTATAAATGATGATCATTAAAAAGAAAATTTGCTATCATACTGTTTCAAATACAGGTATTGTTGTTCTAGTTAAAACTATCGTGAGTTTAATAAATAAAAATATTATCAAAAAAGCTTTGAAAATTTTTATGAACGTATGTCTTGAATAGTATATTCAGTTACCTGTCAAATTTACTAATTTTTGAACACGTCTCGTGTTAAAAAATTATTAAAATTTGATTTTTTTTCCAAAATGTAAATTAAAAGTCAGCATTCACAAAATTTTCGAAGGCATCATTATGATGTTCGATCCAACCTTCTATAGTCCTATATTTGAAATATTTTGACATTCTATTAAACGTAATCTACAAGACAAACGTTTATAAAATTTTCACTACCCTCTTAACTACGTTTTTGAAAAAAAAATTCAGCTTATACTCAGTAATAAATAAACAGAATTTGAACTACGTTATTTTTTTATTATTTTTGTTCTTAATTTTGAATAATGAACAAATTAACTGAATGCCGTGGCGAGAGAAGTTTTACGTTGTGAAAGTAACAAGATGATTTTTTTTTCAATAAAAAGTAGCAAGTAAAAAGTAGAATAAATTAGTTGTCATAGTGTCCATTATTTTTCAAAACTGTAATTAAACACTTTATTAAAGTAAAAAAAAATATAAGATAACATTAATTTTCAATAGGTATCAAAATATTGGAATGGAGGTGTCTTTTAGTTTGTTGCCTTGTTTTTCTATATTATTATGTAAATATTCCTTTAAAAGTGGTTTGTTTGGTTTTTATTTGTATAACAAATTGTTTTAATATACTTTGTTGTGTATTAAAATACATCGTTAGGTACGAATAAAATTACAGTTTTAACAGTAAAGAGAATGAAAATAGAAAGGATGTATTTTTACACTTCAAATATTTGTACAGGGTGCGTCAGAACTCGCGCCATAAGAAAAATTTCATGTAAGATAAGATACCAGGAACATGAAATAAATGTTTAAAAAATCCTATCTGTCAAAAATTTTTGACATTATTTTTTTTACATTTGACATTTTTTATGTCTATTTAATGATACTGATGATCTTGTATAGGTTTTTTTACAATTATGTACTAAAGCTATAAAAATTTTGCCAATAAAAGCCACAAATAACATTGAACAGAGTTTCAATTTAGGATATAGCTTCCTTGTTTCTTCTTCTAATAGCCTTTAGCAAAAAAACTTGAAAAATTATTTTTCCAGCATATATATTAACAAATAAATAGAGTCAAACAGCAAAATTTAAACTCTCATAACGTCGAAATTTTTATAGATAATTTTTTTTAACATTTTTTCCACGGTTCTGGTATCTTACCTTATATGGGGCGCAAGTTCTGGCGCACCTGTATAGAATTTTGAGAACTAGTTATGTTTTATTTTAGGTACAAACTTATGAATTTGGATACATTTAAAATGTTAACCTGATTTAATAATACATTATGTTATTAGGAGTAAAAGTGATAGTTTTTTGCTGACCGTAGTGAGGCAAATAATTCAGTTGAGATACATAATCTCACTTTTACTCCGAAAAACATATACGGTTTTATCCGCAAACGAGATTAAAAACCAACATTTAATTAGAAAGTAATGAACAAAACAATCAGGACGCTTTGCAAGTAATGAAATAATAACACCGCTTATAACAAACATCAAGTGTCAGTATCGGAATTTGTATTGAGATTATCGAAAGCTAGTGAATGACTAGTGCAGTTAGTAGTGATATTTAGTAATAAAAGTGGTCACTTTTGCGGATAAAAAATATTTTTTTTTGGGTGTAATTTTCTTAATCAAATGTTTAATGAACTGACACATAATATTTATTTTCGTGACAGATTATATTTATTCCCTTGAAACAGCTAAAATTTCGGTCCTAAAAACATATATTTTTCTAGTTTAACTAACTCCACAAATTTCAATTTAAAAATAAATCATTTAATAAAGTTCTCACATTTTTATGAGGTATTTTGACTTCAATTGATGATGTTTGTTACATTTTTTAAGTTCAGTTTAATATAAAAAAGCTATAACTTACAATACAAAAAAAAATATTAACATTACCGTTTTAATAATAATCAGAATAATCTGATTATTGATTTTTGTGGTAAAATGAAGCAAAGACAAAAAATCATGAGTTTTTCGTAAAATTTCCGAAAAAAATTGTTTATTGGAAATAGAGTAGAACTTGCATAATTAAATTAGAATATTTTTTAAACCGACATTATTTATATTCATGGAAAACCTCGACTGGGAAACAAATACGAGTATCACTACAATGGTTACAAAGTTTGCTAAATTTCAATTCTAGTTTGTTATTATTGATAGGCAACGTAAAATTTTTATTTAAACAAAATGGTTTGTTAAAATTCTCATATTTCTTTTTTTTTTTTTCAATAAAAAAAAATAATTAAATTTTTGTATCTATGCACGACTTAACTCGCTAAAAAAGCATTTTTATGCAATATTCCAAATGCCAAAGTTCTCATTTCCACTAAGGTGAACACACTCTTAAATCAACAAAAACAAATTACGTAAATCGAGTTAAAGTATTTTCAGATCAATTTAAAAAATATTTCACATAGAAAATTCATGCAACCATGAGTGCACATACAAATAATAATACATCTACCTACCGGTTTTTACACCAATTGCGTAATTCAAAGCACCTTGAAACGAAATATTACAGCAGTAAAGTGATCAGTTCACTAACATTTTTCAGTATTTTATTTATTAGTAAATATGGAAAATAAGATTGGTTGTAACAATAATTCAGTCTTTTTCAAAAACAATCAATCAAAAATTCGAATAAGGTACAGTAAATATTTAAGCAAAAACAAACCCACAAAAATAGACTTCGCGAAAGTTATCATGGAATTAGAACAGGAAAACGCCGAAATGGAAAAGGCCATAAATCTATTGGAGTTCAAAAACAAGATTTTAGAAGAAAATTGTCATTTTCTCAAAGATAAAAACTATTACATTGAACGAAAATTATATGAAATTGAGATAAGTGAGAGAGGTGTGCAAAAGGTAAATACTGTTAAGTCAATCGCTGTTTATTTACTCACACGTAGCAGGAGGAAGATTCTAATGAAACGAATGATGAAACGGAACAAAAAACCGATAAATTCACATATTTAAAAGAGCGCATTTCTGGTGCTATTTTCGGCTTTGTTGTGCCAAATTTATCGAAAATATGTCACAAAATTAAAGAAAAACAAAATGAAATAAAAGAGCTTATAGAAGAAGGTGGTGTTCCCAAATGTCCAATAAAAAAACTGAAATTTGAACAAAAAATTGCGACAATTAAGGTGGGCAACAATTTGGAACTTTGTTTACGTTACATATTATTTTCTAGGTCAACATATACCGTGTAGTGATTGTTTTTGGAACCCTTATGGTCCTGTCAGGAGTGGGATACGCCGGTTACAAAATATGGAAAAACAGGTTTAGGCATCCCGCCTATTTAGGTAATTATACTTTAAAAAGAGTGTCAACAAATCATTTAATTTTTCAGTGCCTTCTGAAGATGACGACGACGAGAGTGGAGATGAAATTTTTAGAGCCCCTGGAACGTCACGAGGTGTTGAAAATGCCGCCATGCCAAAGACAAACTCGAGTGAAAGCTTCAGTACTGACTTTAAAAGTATTTTAGACACAGCAAATAAAAAATAGTTAAGTGTTAAGTAAAAAAATAAAAAGTATTCAGTCTCTTATTCAGACTTTTTCCTTACTATCACAGTAGTTGTATATACCGCTGACATTTACTTTGGTCCCCACTGAGACACCCGCAGGTAATTCAGATATTAAGGCCTACAAAAATAAAATAAAAATTACCACTATTCTATTAAATTTAATTTTTCACCTTTGGATTCTCATCACCGCACTTCATAAACCCAATACTCATTGATTCGGTGGTGTGTGCCCAAAGAACGGCAGAATCACCGGTTTTATTGTCTATATGCAACACTAAAGCCCCACAGAGTTTTGCAGAAACATTTCTCAAAAATCTTGAATCTGGAAATAATAAAATTAAAAAAAAAAACATTTCTTACACAAATCTTACTCAAAAACTTATCAGTTATGGCCTGACTGAGTCCTACAGTAGGACACGCACTACTTTTGACCTCCTCAGCAATTTCCTTAGCCAACTGAGTTCGCATGAGATGTTCTCCACATCCTGAAGTACAAACAGCCACCGAATTTTCTGTGTCTCGACTAAAACTATCGGCCCAAACTCCACTTGCATAAACAGCAGCTTGGCCAACTCGACCAGGGCGCTTTAAAAGTATACCCCCTAGAATAAGTCTTTACAAATTCTGAAATAACACACCAGAAACCTTCATACCTGAACTGCAACCGGCCGCTACATGTCCATTATTGTCAACACACACAGCCCCCACAGTATCCAATAGCTCACTGTTCCTTGTGTCCACCAATTTCTGAAACTTCTGATACTGTTTCAAAGCCTTTGCACTAACTAACGACTTCTGATTGACTATTCTTAAACCGGCACTCTTGGCATGTTGGACAGCCCCCTTGCCAACAAGAAACGACGGTGGAATTAACCCAAACGGCAAAGGCTCGAGTTGCTTGACACAGATGTCGTATGCTAACTCTATAGGGTTTTTGACATTTTTCAACGCTCCACAGCCCCCATAAATCAGGGTTCTCCCGTCCATAATTGACGCATCAGTCTCAACTGTTCCTTCATTAGTGAGGTTAGAGCCGAAACCACAGTTTGTTAAAGGGTCGTCTTCTAACACTGCAATTATCACTTTCACAGCCTCCAATGCTGTTCCTCCACTTCGCAACACTTCAATGCCTTTTCTGCAAGCTTTTTTTGATAATTTGTTGTATTTTACAAAATGGGAACTGTTGTGTGTACCGGCACCTAAATAAGGGTTTTTACCAATTTCAAGGGACACAAAGATGAGACTCACCACAATGAACGGCAACAATGCCACTCATTTTGCTTCACCCACATCTGTGTTATTTCCACTTAAAACGAACCACAATTCTGAGGTTAGAAGTTTAAAATTTTGATGCACCCAACTCGTACGAAATACGGTAATAGCGAAAACAGCAATAATTATTAAACAACGCGATTAAAGACTTGTTTGTTTAAAAAATACATAATAATAATTGCATAGTAGTGTATTTGCGTCTAGTTTTTATTATTAAACGAATAAAGAGTTTCGCAATTACTGTATTCTTTAGACCTCAAAATGGGGAATTTCTTTTCTTGTCATTTTGTCAAAAGGTGTTACTAAAAAGTGAGGTTAATTATTATGAATGTTTTTTAATTGAAACTGTGTTTTACTATAAAGGTCTTACTGAAAACATATTTAAGTAACGTTTCTAAAATATTTTCTACGTACTGCTTTATAATCTTCGTATTTATAACCCTGTGAAACAATTTTGAAAGAAGTGAGGTTAGAACATCGCACACCTATTATGTCATAGGAGGAACGGTCTAAAAAACGAGTTTTATTGTGAGAATAGCAGTAGAATTTTCCCCAAAATGCTTAAAATAGGCCAAACCGTCCTAAATAACCTAAAAAACGGCAAAAACCTGAACGTCTCTCGATACGAAATCTACCTAAAATCGACCATAGCGGAGGCGAAAGTGAGCGAAATCCAGGTGAAATTGAAGCCGAAAAAGTCCGGGAGCCCCCAAAGCAGCATGGTTGCGGCCGTGTTTGCCTCCCTTCAAAACGAAGTAAAAACTCCCTTGACTGATGATAAAATAAGCAAAGCCGGTGACATTAACGAATTATTATCAATATCAGAGGGAAGTGGAGTTTCAAGAAAACATGCCCTTAAAGTGGTTTCAACTTTGGCCGAATGGTCATCGTCCGGGAAAACCCAATTGTCAGAGTTTGAGAATGATCATCGCTTCATCAAACTGTGTCGAATTTTGAGCAAGGGGGCGAAAGTGAACAGAGCTATGGTGTCACGAAGTGAGGATTTATCGACAGTGCTCAGCGTCACAGCCGATGATGAAGCCGCGAGGCTTATAAACAACTTAACATTGCCACAAATGATCAAAGTAAGATTCTGTTTAGTGTCTTGTTTTTTATTTTTGAATAATTTTAGGTGATGTCGACTCTCACAACGCGAAAACGCCGATCAGTGGTTTTACTACGCACTTTGGCATATAACGTAGCAGCCAGTGGTGAGACACTGAATTTAAAACAGAGCGCAGATTTATTATACAGCATGTGCAACTTAAACTTCATTGACGATAATTTACTTGCTAAGATCTGTGAAGATATTACTGTCGAAATTAAGAAAGATGTTAAGAAAAGTTCAGTTGTGGGATCAATCGTTACCAGTCTTGGCTTACTGAAATATAAAAACAATGGTTAGATTTTAATCTAAATTACGGAGAACTACATACTAGGAGACGAAACGAGATACAAAATTGCTCGATTTTTGGACCCAAAAAATTAGTCTCAGTTTCAAATCGTTTTAAATTAATTTAAATTCAAGCAGTGTCCTAATTGCTTGGAAAAAAAAATGCAAAAACGTTGAGCTTTACATTCTTAATAAGCTGTGGAAAACGAACGACTAAATTTTTCACGAGATATATGAGAAAAAAATATTTAAAATCTGTGCTTCGTTACATGTTTGTCAAAATGCTGCGAATACGGTTGAAGATACAAGAAAAATGTAAGAAAGAAAGTAGTAGAGAATAAAATTTTCTAGTAAAAAGTCGGCGAGACCATACCTCTATCTTTAATGGTTTGGGCCTCAAAGACGTTCAAAGCCGCTCAAGCTACGGATTCGGGTGATTCAGTGCCAGAGGAACACTAAAGCAATTTAAACCTAAACCGTTGAAGATAGAAATATGGTCTCGTGGACTTTTTTGTAGCAAATTTTATTCTCTACAATTTTGTTTCTTACACTTTTTTTGTATCTTTAACCATATTCGCAGCGTTCTCAAAAATATTGGCCGGAACGCAAACTGATAATAATTGTTTATAATTTATTTTTAATACTGTTTTCGATATTTTTGAGAACGCTGCGAATACGGTTGAAGATACAAAAAAAATGTAGAGAACAAAGTTGTAGAGAATTAAATTTCCTATAAAAAAGTCCGCGAGACCATATCTCTATCTTTAACCGTTTAGGTTCAAATTAATTTTTTGTCTCTTGACCACCGAATGACACGTATTCGTCACTTGAGCGTCTTTGAACGTCTTTAGGACCTAAACCATTGAAGGTAGAGGTATCTAACGCGGACTGTTTTCTTGAAAATTTTATTCTCTACAACTTTTTTTTTTATATTTTTCTTGTATCTTAAACCGTATTCGCAACATTTTAAAAAATATGAAACGGGGTGCAGATTGCTAAATGTTTGAAATTGTTTTAAAATATAGTTTTTAATAAAATTTTTGCATTACTTTTATTTCTTATTATTATGAATTTAATGCTCTATCTGTCTATATTTGCTTTATTTGCGTTTTGCTCACCGTTATGTAAATATAGCCAGTTTTTTATTTCATTGCTCTTAAAACTTAAACGGGAAAGGAACTGCGCTATCTGGCCTCACTAATGGAACTATCGAAAACGGGGACGTTTTGTTTTACATCGTGTCGTATCCTAGTCTTTAGATATCCAAATCTAAATTGACAAGTTTTGACTAAACTTATTTTTTAGAAGTTTTAGATTTGTTGAGTGAATGGATTTTGCAAAATCATTCGATTTGTCGATCTAACGATATTTTCAGCTTGTTTGTGACTTTGGCTACAGTCAACTACTTGCCAAGCAATTCTGACGAACTCTTCAAAGTATATTTTCGACGATTGTTTGCACTTTTATTGAAAAATTTGTTTTAGGTGTTGGTGCCACAATTGACAATTTCGGAAGCAAGAAAACCTTTGGTGTGGCTAGACTTTGTTTGGTCACTGGTAGTGCTAAAACAAGCCTCCCATGATCATGTTTCCAGCGTTCTAGAGCAGGATTTTGTTGAAAAAATTGAAGGTATTTGGTTGGGTGGTTGAAATGAAGAGTTTCATTTTATAATTTGACAGGAGCGAATGTGTTTGGGAAAGTAAAACTTTTAAATATCAATGGTGCCGCAAAATATTTAATGAAAGATTTCAACGGTGATACGTTGGCGCCTCTATCAGACATCCACAATGTGAACATTGTGAGGACTAAGGAGAACGGAGAAATGGTTGAGTGTGTTTTAGATACTGTGAAAAACTTAATACAGTCTGACAACTTAAATTTTGATGTCAATACAGGACTAGGATTTTCGATTGGTACGAAATATTTCAAATAAGTTCAACAGTGCTTAAATTTATTTTTTGTAGATGTGGAATGTTTGCTTGATAAAAAGTGTAATCCACTTCCAATCACTAAAGAAAATTCCAACAAACCTGATTTAACTAAGTATATAATCTACTATTTTTCTGTTATGTGACTAATTAATTTTTTTAGAGTTGCTTTAATAGCATACGACTACCACAATATGTGTATAGGCAAAGTTGAACCTACTGGTGCTAATGTCCTCAATTCTCGGCTACTTGAAGCTTGTGGTTATAAGGTATTGACCATTCCATACACGGAATTTAAAATAACGGACAAGTTAGTACAACGGGTCCAGTATTTAGAAAGCAAATTAAAAAATATTGTCAAGTAAATACTGTAATTTATTATAGATAAATAAAGAATTTTTGAGTTTTATCGAGCGTTTTTGTTTCTATCGGCGTGTTTTTTTACGAGTCTATAGGAGTGGAAAAACGCAATTTGGTTCCATTTCTTGAATTTTCCAAAACTCAAAACGATTGATCAACGATTGGTGGACTTTTTCGGGTCTCTAAGACCCCTTAAAGGAAAAAAAAACGTTACTTGATCTAATTCAGAAGTTGCCGATTTTTTTCAAAATTTTGGTCGATTTCTTGTTAATAGAGTGGATATTCAATTATTATATCCCGAGTGCATGCCAAATACGCGAATATTTTTACGAGTAAACTAAGAATATTCAAGGATGTCATGCAGGATATTCGATGATGCTCTTACCTGATTGGATAAATTTTAAATAATGCCATTACTGGATTGGTTGAAATTTTTTAAGGACAATACAGTATTATTTATGAGAGGGGTGATTTTTTGCCGCAATCACTACTAAATTAAATACACGGTAAATAAAAAGTATGGAACCAAGCGTTTTTTTCGCAAATTAATTTACGAAAAAAATAAGTTCGAAAAATTTTCGTGATGAGGTCGGAATGCAACTTTGAGAATTTATTTAAAAAAACCTACTAGTTAAAAATAATTTTATTTAATTAGAAATCATTTTTAGATCATACTTTTTAATTAAAAAAATATGACAGTAAGTTGCCATTAAAAGAAAATTTTTTGTTGCAAAACTCGAAAACTAAAAACAATTTCAAAAAATTTTATTTTGGATAAACGGTCACATTTTAATTTTACTTTACGCTACACTAATTATTCTTTTCGTAAAGTGGTTAGTTCACGAAAAAACGCTTGGTTCCATACTTTTTATTCACCGTGTATGTTATTTCTTTTAAATTGGAAATCAAAGTAAGTTGGGAAGATTTGTCGTATGAGCAGAAACCTATATTTAATCAAAATTCAACAACAGTTATTAACGTCATAAGTCCGATATGTAGGCAAATAACAGATGAGGTTGAATTTTGTAAACCGAGGCGAAGCCGAAGTTTATAAATCGGCTAAAGATGTTTTTATGATTTTGGTATCATGTAGTAGAGATTATTTTTTCTACATTTTGATTTTTTTTAGAATTGCGATAGGCTACGTACAAATTCAAATAAAGGTAGCGAAAATTTGACTAAAAATGATCATTTTTAAAAATTACATTTTAAGACGTTTTTTCGAACTTCTAAAAAAGTCACAATGTAGTTTGTTGTAAGTATCTAAAGTTGATAATTTCAAGTCCGGTAAAAAAATATTTATAAATAACACCTCTACAGAGGTAGAATGATTTGGAATCGAAAACCAAGTGAGCACAAGATTATTTACAACCCCACATAAAATGTAACCGCAAACAATTAGACCAAAATTTACAATCACACCCGCCGACCAACCGATAACACAGATGTCATGGACTTGTAAAAGCAGATTTTAAAGATTTTTAAGATTGCTTTACAATCAATACCTTTCAAGTAAATGAAAATTATAATTTCATTACAATTTCAAGGTATGTAATTTATAATTCTCATACATACAGACTACATAATAATTATTGCTTTTATTTCAAATAATTTTTGGTCTGTTTCTATTTTACTATTCTTATTTAAATATCTGAAAACAAATTAACAAACCAGGTAGGTAGTCAACCATTTCCTTGAAAATAATATTATTGTTGAACGTTGTGATTATTTATTGATAGAAAAGTTTTTTTTGGGAGCATCGCCAGAGAGTATCATTAAAAACGAAGAATTAAAATGTCCTATACGGCTTTTGAACCATAAAAAAGAAATTAATTATGTTTTGGAAATTCAAAACTGAATGTGTTTTCAAAATTAATAAAATCATGACTGGTTTTATCAAATCCAGGGACAGTTGGATGTAACAAACAAGCAAGAATGTTTGTTATGTGTGTGGACAGTAGAAAACCTACTGAAAACTGAAATAATTCAAAAGGAAGATGAATTCCAGAAAAAAAGGCACTTGAAGTTGGAGAAATTTTACAAGAGGCACTACTTCCGGAAATACTTGAGCCATTTAACATGTTTTTTCTGTTAATAAAAAATATATATAAATTAAATTTATTTCTAAAATATTTGCAAACACTACTACTTAACTGGCTTGTTTTACTAAAATATACCTCCTCTAGTTAAAGATTTATTCTAGTTCATATTTATTTTTGAAAGCACGTTTTTTTTTTTTTATAAATGTACACTAGTTTAAATTAAAAAGCAAAAAGCATGCATGCTCAAAAATGTTTATTACTTCTAAATAGATTAGCAAATATGAATAACTACATGAAAAATTATTCTGATAGTTCCTCTTCTCCACCAATATTCAGACAATTTTCATAAATTACCTTCGCGTGATTTTTGAGACACAAACTAATGTTACACTTTTCGCATCGATAAACACTCTATGAAGATTTCTTACTTTGAGTGTAGCAAGGTTGACAACGTCTTTTTTTTGCAGCTCTAGAACAACCTCTTCAGAACTTTTGTACTTTTGTAACATTATCGTTACTTCTCTTGGTAGGCTTATAATTTGTGCTCTAATTTTTAGTTGGTCTTCTATTAAATTTAGTGCTAAGTTTTTGATAAAGTTTCTTCTGGGGCAAAATTCATTTTGATTTGCCAAAAACATAACTCTTGAGTTGATTCCAGCCAGATTCATCAAATGATCAAAAATTACCATTGACCATCTTCTTGTCGATCTGCCGGCGTTATATGTGGCACAAAGCTTGTCGACAACGTCTACTCCGGATTTCGTATCATTATAGAATAATATTATTTCCGGCTTCTTCCCATTAACATTCGAAATAATATTTGAAGAAACATGCATGCTAGAAAGCAGAACAACAGTTTTCCCTTTTTTTGGAACATATGAAACAAGAGTTTCATCTTTTGTGTAACCAAAAATGCTGTCGAAGCAGGGACGATTTTTTGGAGACACAAAGTTAGGAGGTAACTCTCTTATTTTTTCTTATTGTTCCAACATTTTTCCAGTTCCCGCACTAAGTTGACACTAGTAAAACAATTGTCAGCCGTAATGTTTCGACCAGATCCAAAGATTGGTTCAGCCAATCTCATAACAATTGATTCTCCTGAATTAGGTTTACAGAAAGGTCCTTCTGGTTGTTGCCCACAATAAATCTCCATATTTGCTGTATAGTATAATTTTGCGTCACTCAAACAACACTCAAATAAACACTCAAACAATATTTATTTGGTTTAGATGGTATGTACTGCTTAAATGTGCATCTTCCACGAAATCCAGGAAGCGTTTCATCGATGGTTACATTTTGGCCCAAATGGTAATTTTTCATGCAATTTTCTAAAAAGATTGTAAAAATTTCTCTGATTGCTGCTAATTTGTCAGCCTTGCGCCGTAGTTCTCAATCATCTAATGAGAAATCTAAATCGCTTTTCAGACATTGTCATATGAAATATGTCTATTCCCAAACCGTCAGTAGCCCAAAAATTACTCAATCGTTGATGGCCTCCTCTAAATACCCCTGACAAATAAAGTAGACCTAAAAACGCCTTTATTTCTACAAGGTTTGTTGGTCTGCAGTTTCTTTCTCTGGCAAATTTTTCGCGAACGTTTTCTATATGTTAATTTGTATATTGTATTAATAAATCTTCTAGAATAACTTCACAGAATAACAAATTCCAACAATCTACTTCAGTTTTTGCGTTTCTAGCAGCCTGTCCTACTACCCCCGGTAACTTCATCAAAATGTTATGAGGACAAGTTTTAGAAGTAGGAAATGGGTCTTTTTTCCATTGCGTCCCATTCGGTTTACATACCGAAAAAATTATTGTTTTCTTGTTCTGGTTGTTCAGTATCTTCATCATCACTGATCTCATAATCGGTTTTTGAATCAACAGACCTTATTTCCACTTGATCTTCGGAATCTGACACATCAGATTCGTCAAAATCTTCATTTTGTACATCTACGTTGGCTTCATCATCTTCAAACATTAGACGATGTAGTTCATCAACATCTTTCGGTTTAGAAAAATCGAATAATTTTTTTTTGTACTCATAGCGAAAAGTAACAAAAAAGACACCAAATCACAATTTTTGCCTACTTGGAAAAACATGTGCGGAAGAACCTTCCGAAAAGACCAAATAAAGTAGAACACGCATTGTCGCGCTGTATCTGACAGGTACATGTCGGACACTTTTGGGGTTTTATGACGATAACAAAACAATAGAACGAATATCCGCTTCGAATATCTGAGAATGATAAACTTTTCAAAGCATGTCGTTTGAAGAATACACTAAAACCCAAAATCATAACACCAAGAATATTAAAAAAAAACAGAGCATGTATCTCCTAGATACATGCGCGACTAACGGAGGGTTAATAAAAATTTATACAAAATAAAAAATTATTTCCTTTGATTTTTATTTATTTGTTATGATTTATGACCAAGGTGATAACTTCCTCAAAAGTAAATTAAATTGGCAATTACCTACGATGTTCGAAGTGTTTCTAAACATGGGCCCGGTCGGTTGGTAAACGTTAACAAGAAATGTTGCAAGGTTGGAGGGGTGATTTTTTGCTTTAATTAATTTTTCATCTAATAAAAAAGGTCGTTGCGCTATAATGTAGTTATCAAAAATATCTCTGGAATTATTTCTAAACCACTAGAAATTTTAGGGGTTTCTAACGTCAATTGATTTCTTGGAGCGTTTTACATACGCTTAGGTCTAAATATTGGCATTCTTGGCTGTAATTTTGTCGTAATTGCTAAAAATTTACATCTTTGTGATGATTTTTGACAAAGATGATTTACATCATCTTTGTCAAAAAAATTGCAACACGTTGAAGATAAATAAAGTTATTATTCTTATTTTTGTCCTAATCTTTAGGCAAAAATTTTCCGGTGATGGATTTAAGGGGGCTTAAAATAAGTTGAAATAATTTTTCCTTCATAAATCTTTTTGATTTACAAAAGTAGATCATAAACTCACAGTAAAAGCAATTTATAAATTTTCAGGATTACCAAAATAAGAGTAATATTTTTTTTACTGTTTTAAAATTTAAAAAGCGCTCAATAGAATAAATAGTACTATAAAAACACGTATTGCAACCTCAATTTAATACTCGTGCATTGTAACACAATGAGAGTGTTTGTAACACTTGTTTTTAAATAAACCACTTTTGCAATGTTAATACGAGGCCTAACAATTAAGTGTTCGGACAAATATTCTAAAGATACAAAAACTATTGCTGTAGTTACATTAGAAGAAATTTAATCATGCATGTATTACGAATTGATATAGAAGATGAAGTAATTACCACATATAATATGTTTGCCATAAAAAGACAATTTTGTTTGTGTAGAACGCATATCTCATATTTTAATAAATTCGATAAGTAGGTAAATGTTGGTCACTAAATGTTTAGACAAAATACTTATTTGTCTTTTTTTTTAAATAGGCACTAGAAAAAGGTTGCACATTTGGAGTTACACCTTGCGTAACAATTATGATATTTTTTGATCTAGTTCGAGTCAAAAATTTGAGAGTTTTTGACAATAATGGGTCGTGGATTTGCAACAAACATTAATATACGTGAAAGTTTCATTTATTATCTTACGAAAAATTGTTCGAAATATTGCGAATGAACATTATTATAAAAAATTATGCAGAAATTGGAAAACAGAACGTGAAAGAAAAAAATAGTTGGATGGAGACTAGAATAAAATTATTTTTAGTGATGAATCAAAATTAGACGTCTGTGAAAGGTTATAGAAAACAGCTCATTTAATCAAAAAAAACCTTTCATATAAACTCTGCTTCCAAAGAACTGTAAAGTTTCCTAAAAATGTGATGATTTAGAAATGCATGTCTGCAAAAGGACCCAAATGTTTTCAATTTGATTTTTTGAATCGTGAATTGTTTTTGTGGGTAATTTCTCAAATGGCTTTTCATTTTGTATCAACTATTTTTGAAGGTCATGAAAGAACATACATATTATGTTCACCGAACCATTTTTTACTTGTTTTTAAGGTGTGACTTGCTGCCTCATCTTGTTGGAAAATCTTGAAAATACAAAAACTGAATAATAAACTACACTACTCCAAAAAAAATTAAGGAACAAAAAATATTCCTAAATTTTTTGGTGATTTTTGAAAGGCTTGTAACTCATCGAAAAATGGTGATATCTATTTAGATTAAAAAATATTTTGAAGCTTTAAGTTTCTAGTTTTGAGATCTTTTGTCAAAAAATTTTTCTGTGCTACGGTTATCACGTAATCCTAAGTAATAGTGCAAGAAAAATAAATTCTAATTTTCTTTGTTTTTGCTTTTGGTCCACGGACGTGGGGATTTTTTTTAGTTAATTTAATTTAATTTAATTTTATAAATAAGTATTATTGTTTTTTGAATTTTTTTCAAATATTAGCAAATAACTAATGCAAAATTGTAAAAAAAGTTGAAAAAAATTTTTGTCGAAGATTAGACAATATTCAGAAATAATATGTACAATTGTTCTTTTAATTCTTTTGTAAAACTTTGATCAATTGGTCCGAGACATCGGTTTGATGGATCGACTTAAAAATTTACAAGGATATGAGGAGTACATTAAGCTGTAAAAACACCTAAAAACATTAGTCTCCCCCATCAATATTAATGAATATGCAGTAGATTTACTAAAACAACGCAAAAAGTTACTTTATTCTCTATTCTTTAAATCAATGTTTAGGGTAAAAAAAATATTTTTTAAAAAGTTATAAAAGGATTTTGTAAGACATTTACAAGTTTTTGACACTACCCTTATATTCTCTCTGTGGTCATTGGTTGCTGAGATATCCATGATGAAAGACAAAAGGATCTATTTCATTTAAAGTCAGATATCTCAGCGACAAATTGACGTAAAGAGAATATGAGAAAAGCATATTAAAGATGAATGAACAGGCTATCCGGTCTATGCATTGACTTAACTAAAAAAAAAAATCCCCACGTCCGTGGACCAAGAGCAAAAACAAAAAAAAATGTTTTTTTTCTCGCGCTATTACTTAGGATTACGTGATAACCGTCGCACAGAAAAAATTTTTGCCAAAAGATCTCAAAACTAGAAACTTAAAGCTTCAAAACAGTTTTTCTTTAATCTAGATACGACCATTTTTCGATGAGTTACAGCCTTTCAAAAATCACCAAAAAATTTAGGAAAATTTTTTGTTCCTTTAATTTTTTGGAGTAATATATTTTGTAAAAATTTCTTGATATTTCTGCGTTTACAGTACCCTCAATAAATTGATAATTCCCCCTGAATTTAGTAGGAACCTTGGAACCTAGTAGTAAAAAGTATGTGGACCAGGATTCAGGCAGTCATAAAAGCGAAAGAAGGCATAATAATTGTTATTGATATTTTATTGATTGACTTTGGAGTGTTCACTTTCGGACATTTTTATTGACTCACTGCACAGATGCGCTTAACCACTTAATCTCGGACCCTTTTTGTGGCGGGTAAATTAAAGTCTGTTCATTAATTGAATATTACCCTTGTAAAACAGTATTTTGTCCCCACATTTAGTTGTCAAGTTTCTCTGTTTTAATTGTTTAATTTTGATTATTAGTGATTGTAATTGTAATACCTACATTAAATAAAATTCAGTATTTACTATGGTGTATTATTCTTAACATTCCGCTCTATGATATACAGGCTGTTCCGTCTAAACCCCACTTTAGAAGTATTGGAAGTTGGAATGATTGTATTTATTTGAAAATTGGTACATAGCCATAAACCATTAAGTCCTATTAAATGAAAATATTTTCAAGATGGCGGCACTTACGGTTATACCGGAAGTCGGTCTCAACTTTCTTATTTTAAATGGAAAGGTATATTTTTTACTGCGTTTTTGGATTAATCGGGTTATTTTAAGGGAGTTTTTATCAGCTTTCCTTATACCTAAATTTAGCCGTTTTTGAAATATTTGGAGTTTTTCAAAAATTTTTGGATTTGCACCTTCCACTTTAAAAACCGGTAACCGGTCTGCCATTTTTTAAGATTTTAAATTCGTTTTTTTAGCGTTTGAAAGAGAAAGCTTAGATCCTTTTTCTGGTGTTTTCAAATTTTGAAAAAAAATAGCATATCCCAAAATTTTAAGGTTACTTTTGTAATAATTCAAATACTCATAACTTAATTTTTTCAAATAAAATACCCCAATTTTTATTTTACTAAATAGAAGAGAATTTAATTGTGCATTGATCTGTATTAACATTCCCTATACCTAAATTTAATAATTTTCAAGTTATGGACTTTTTTTAATACTACAGAAAATTTATTACTAGCCATACCCGTTTTCACGTAGTTTGCTATGGAAATCAAAAATGTCAAAATTGTTTCTCAGTAAACGTCGACAGTGACTTATTATTTGCCAAATAGTGCCAAAATATGGAGAATCAAAGTTATACAAACTTAATTATTATTGATAGGTTCCACCATGCAATCATTATTTAAAGCTATCAAGTGAGAAAAGTTTATTTTTGTTTAATGAACGATATCATAATTTTGTTACACTCTCCATAAATACAAAATAAATTAGTTAAATCTAAGTTTGAGTAGCTTTGACTCTCCATATTTTGGCACTATTTGTCAAATAATAAGTCACTGTCGACATTTATTGAGAAACAATTTTGACATTTTTTATTCCCATAGCAAACTATACGAAAACGAATGTGGCTAATAACAGATTTTCGACAGTCTCAACAAAAAGTCACCATAACTTAAAAATAATTACATTTAGGTATAAGGAATGTTAATACAGATCGATGCAGAATTAAATTCTCCTCCATTTAGTATAATAAAAATTGGGGTATTTCATTTGAAAAAATTGAGTTATGGGTATTTGAATTATTACAAAAGTAACCTTAAAATTTTACGTTTTGTTAATTTTTTTTTCAAAATTTGAAAACATCGAAAGAAAGATCTAAACTTTCTCTATCAAACGCCAAAAAAACAAATTCAAAATTTTAAAAAATAGCAGAGTTACCGGTTTTTAAAGTGGAAGGTGCAAATCCAAAAATTTTTGAAAAACTCCAAATATTTCAAAAACGACTAAATTTAGGTATAGGGAAAGCTAATGAAAATTCCCTTAAAATAACCCAATTAATCCAAAAACACAGTAAAAAATATACATTTCCATTTAAAATAAGAATGTTGAGACCGACTTCCGGTATAAGCGGAAGTGCCGCCATCTTGAAAATATTCTCATTTAGGAGGACTTAATGGTTTATGGCTATGTACCAATTTTCAAATAATTACGATTATTGCAACTCCCAATACTTCTAAAGTGGGATTTAGACGGAACAGCCTGTATACTCCTAATAAAACAAGTTATTTGTCTCAAATTTTTACTTTCTGTTTTCTTCAGTAACAAAACAATATTTGTCCGAACATTTATTGTTACGGCTGAATATTCAAAAATAAAAGCGTGTTCTTTAATAAGACAAATAGGGAGAAACCATTTCATAACAATAATTTTGTATTTGCTAAATGTGATTTTATTTCTTAAGAAATAAAAAAAATAATTATACTAATTAATTCTTCCGGATTGTGAAGGGGTTCGCAAGGAGAAAAAGATTGGGACAAGTGTATTCTATTGAATAGCTTTTTTCCAAGAATTGATTTGTATTATTAACGAATACAAAAACCATTATTGTGGAGATCAAGCTTTTCAATTCCGCTTGTTTATGTGTAGTATAATATTATTTTGAAATAAGAACCGTTCTTAAAACGTCGCCTCAAATTCGCAGAATTGTTTTTTCTAAGGCCCGATCCATTTTTTGCGCGAACACGTGCTCAATGTAAACAGTACCCTTTCTCTTTTTACAACGGACCAATCGTAGCAAACGAAACTCTCTTTAATCGCTTCAATTCCAGGAAACTTGTTCTGCTGGTGACTTCCCATCACCAAATTAGCAGCAGTAGTGTATGTCTCGAAGTGATGTGAAGTGCCAAAGGGTGTTTTGATAACGTGCCAGATTTAGGTAAATTCCGGTGGATTTGCAACACGTGGTTGTGTAGTGGGATAATGCCGGTGCTCGAAAGGATGGAGGAGGTAAAAAATAGTGCAAATTATTAAGATTGGATTTTTTGAGGGAAAAAATGTCTAAAAAAAGTCTCTCTGATTAATTTTTGTGCAATCGTTCCGCTAGCTTGAACGTCACTTACAAGATGCTCATTAGTAATTACATCTAATTATTTAATTAATTATTAATGTTGTGTAATAACCACTATCTTCCGGATTTTTATGACAAATTATAGAGCCATAACGGCTTAATAAGCCAAATTCATTGCTATCGTCATTTCTATACTTTCAAATTAATTCGAGAAGCTACTTTAGCAGTCTTAGCAGTTTTTCTAATTGTATTTAAAATTGAAATGGAGTCTACTAAATAACAAAAACAGTCTATCAAACATACAGGGTGTCTCAATTAAGACTTTCGAGGTCAATATCACTGTTATTAGCGTTATTTCTGGAGTAATAAATAATATACGAGTATGTATTTAATTAAACCCAAAATATAAATAAAAGAAGGAAACGCATCCGAGTGTAAAAATGTGTTTTTAGCGCCCACTTCTTATTTTAAACATTTATTAAAATAAATGGGATGGATTCAAAATTCTAGGAAATTGTTATTTGGGTTGGTTGAAGACTACTTTTTTTATTAAAAAAAAAGCACACCTTTATTTTACAATTTTTTAAATCAATGATTTTTAATTTATAGATCAGTGATCATGATCATGAAGATCTAATAAATAATAATGACAACTTGTTTCTTGCTTGAATAGGAGATAATTTTCTGAATGAAAAACTGATAAACGGGATTTTTATTAAAAAAAAAAGATTTTCAATGCATACAAATAAATGGCAGGCAACTTCGAAAGAACGTTAATGATTTTAAAGATTTATTCAATTAATAAATTTTATGATTTCGCACAAAAGAGTTCTTTTTTCATTGAACGGATGAAAATATCAATTAATTAATTCAGTTATTTTATTAAAGAATTGACTCACTAATAGGTATTGTGACTGAAATCAAACACTTTATGTTTGTGATTATTATCTTAACTTAATTAACATTTTCAGGCAACTATATTAATTTCCTTTGGTAGAAAAAATAAAAATAATAATACCTAATTTATTAATTGACACATGCTTCATTTAGTTACAGGTTATTAGCAGCAGCAGTTGTATCAATGTGCAAATAATAAAATGGAGATTTTTGGACCAGATTTACTCTTGTGTAAGATGGTTATTATGTTATTACTTACCTATTACTCAGATTTTCTTTAAAAATTGTAGATTAGTGCACGTTTTGTGTTTGTATAACAATTTTTGACGAGAACGAAAAACCACAAATCATTAAATTAAACAGTGTTCAAATTTAAAATGCACAGTTTAATTTCAAGCTATTTGCTGTTTTTTTGTTATTTGTTTTAACTGCTGATGATTTTTATGTCCATTTGTGAGTCTGTAGTAGTCTGAACTTACAATTTTGAATGTTACTGTGTTTGTTTTATCAATGAGATTGTCTAGAATGTCTTAGGAGGGACATCTTCACAGCTTTAGTAAGTATCTGGGAAGTATAAAATATAGGAAAATTTTTTAGGCCTTTTTTTCTACGAAATAATTTAGAACTATGTATTTGTAAAGAATAGTATGTAGCCCTATATTATGTAATTTTTTTTAAATAGGTATTACTTAGATTTTCTCAAAAATTACCGTTATTGTAAATCTTAGGGCTGGCCATACTTTATTGTAATGATATAACATTTTATTAACATAAATTTTGTACAAACATGTGCATAATCAAAAATTGCACACTGCTACATTTAGTTAATAAGCTAAATCACAAAAAAAAACAGATGCAATGTGCAACCCTCGTTATTGTTAAACCAAAAATCTTGAGTTTAATTATAGTCGGCTATTACCCCCCATCGAGTGCTCAACCTCCAATAATGATTTTGCACAAGAATCTTTCCTTCTTTTCGAATTCCAAACTAATTGACATCTGGTTTTAGCTAAAATTTTTTGAAGTCAAGTAATTTTATTTTTATTTTTTTTAAATTTTTATTTGGCCGAAAGAAAATTATAGAGTTGTAAATAAGTTTTTTATTACTTATTTCGTACCCGAGAAAGATAACTTCATCAAGTAAATTTGTAATAAAAAAGAATTGTAAAAATAATGTTTTTTTGTAGCCTTGCAAAATTTTTAATTTAACTACACTGGCTGCCAAAATTGACCGGACAACTAAAATTTTTCGATTTTTCACATTGTAATATTTTTGCAACTTTGCAGAACATTGTAATTTAATTCAATAACAATTGTAGTTTTGTCTTGTAAATGTTATACCTAAAATACGAGAGCACTGTTTTTATTTACTTTTTTTATATTGAGCTGAAGTGTGCAACAGAGACACTTGTTACTTGTTTCAGATTTTTGCCCGTTCTTTTCTGAATGAGGACCAATTTGTTTCAAAATTTTATCTTTTGGTACCCCAGAAAAAAGACGTTGCTTTTTCTAATATTACCTAAATATTCATTCAGAAAGTAGACTATTTAAAAAGGTAATTAAACCGAAAATTATTACTTATGTCACCAAAAGAGCACAATTACGTCTTTGAACACAAAAAATCTGAAAAACTTGGAACTTCAAAGGAATCAACAAGTAAAACGGTTAATTATTGGAAGCTGCCATGCGCCTATTTTGACGTTTTGGCACATTCGACCTATTTAATACGAACATTCATTGAAATTGGAATGGTAATGCCTTTTTGAAGGTTAATATCTCTCATGTCTCAAGAATTAAAATTATGGAAAATGTGGTACATAATTCAGAAAAGAATGGGCAATAAACCTGAAATCAGTAAAAATTTAAGTTTGTCTCTGTCGCACACCACAGCTCAGTATAAAAATAAGTAAAAAAACAGCGCTTTTGTCTTTTGAGTATCACATTTAGAAGACAAAATTAGAAATGTTACTAAATTAAATTACAACGATCTACAAAGTTTTTTCTTTAACCCAAACAAAAATTCATCGAAATCCGACAGAGAATAACAAAAATATTGCAATGTGAAAAATAGCAAAATTTAATTAATTTAATTTTGAGGGCCAGTGTAAAAAATACCTCGAAAAATACCAAAGAATCAGATAAATATAAACTAAATTAACGTTATAGCAAAAAAAAAGATTACTATAAATCTACAGAACCGAGTTGTAATTTATAATATACTTACATAATGTTCCATTTGAAAAAAACAAGATCAACCAGAGTTGCTAGAATCAATCAGCTTTTTGTCAAAATTCGTAAAAAAATGTGCACGTTTTTTGATGCACTTTCATTGTCGCTTAGTGTATTTCAAATTTTATACTATGTATTGTGGTGGACAATAAAATCGTGTACACCATTTTTTTGCTCAATTAAGTGGGCATTAGCATGATATAAACCTTGTAAGTGTCAAATAGTAAAAATACCAAAACATACTTAAAACAAAAAGAAATTATTCTGTCTAAACTGGAGGAGGCCTTAGCATAAAAACAGTTGCAGACTAAGAAAATTTAAACTAATCTAAAGCATACTTTTAAGAATAAAGAAGAGATGGAAATAAGAATGGAGTATAACTTTTTTTCTAAAAATACTTTGAAACTTTAAAAAAGACACATTTACACATTGAAAAAGTTCTAAAAATGTTACTTGATTTTTTACAGTGTACATTATACGTACTGTGGTAATCTTGATTTTATCGCACACATTAATTGTAAAAGGAATATTTTTTTGAATGGAACAGCAAGATCACTATTTTTATTGTAAAACATATTTTAGTTTTTTCTCTCTAACATTTAAGACGTCACAGTAAATAGACATGAAGTATTTTTAAGTAACGCCAGACTTTCATTCTTACATATTTATTTCTGTTTTATGTAAGCGAATGTTGGTTTCGCCAAGTGTGCACTAATTAAAAAATTAAACCATGAAAAATTATTCCAATTTCGACACGGCTGATGTAAGTGACCATATAACAATGTACAGATTAAAGAAGAGTAGTGGTAACTTATTTCGTTTAAAACTTATTAGAACGTTTCTAATCACACAAGTAATTATTAATGATATACCTACTCTGCAACATAACTGATCAAAGATCAGTTAGTTTTACGGTTGTCTTCAATATTAGTGTATGTGGAAATAAAACACGCGAACTGAATAAGGTACACAATTTATGGATTTCATTAAAATAATTAATACATTTGATTAATTTTACTTGTGAAATTTTAGTGCATATACGAGTATGTACCTAGCTTTTAAATGAAAAATAACTACAGAATTACCGGATTAACCATTATAATTAATTAACTGTACGACCCTCAGAAGTAAATAAAAATTAATTAATTAGATAGGCAGTAAAATTTGACAGAATTAATTCCAAAATTAAAGGAAATTCAGTGATCATTTATGAAATTATGAATATTACACTAAATTTGAGCAATCTTTTAAAAGGAAAAGATAAAAATTCTGAAATTTAAAAAGCAATATTTCCATTTTCATTTAAAAATTGAGCAGACTGGTTACTTTTGTTACAAGTACCGAAAATACAGTTTTTGCGAACGAATCGTTGCGAAGCCGAGTCTGGAATAGCAGATGAGTCCGCAAAAACGTTTTAGGTACGTGTTGTGTTACAAACAATATTTTTTTTGTTAAAGCCCCAAAAAACAAATTCACAACTCTCATTAATTAAAAAATATTTGCTACCATAGTAAATTGACTTTTTCGTTTTTCGATAAACTGTTTTTGGGGACTGAGTACCCAAACTAACCAACCAATTTATGTATTATTTTATTTAGTCTGGAAAAGACTCATTTTAGGGACTCAAATGAGCTATTTTCGGGAGCGTATACAAAAAAAATATTATGAATTGTCAACAAATTCTAAAATTTTTATTGTTTTATAAGCGAAAGTTTCAAATTTTACAATTGAAAACATTAAATAGATACAGAACTGAGTTTTTACATCCAGAGAAATGGTTTTTCTTAAAAAAAATCGCGAAGGTTTAAGATAACCTTGGTATGCTTTATTGCATTACTTGAAAATTTCTTAAAACTTTAATTGATCATTTTACTATGGTCTTGCAATTTTAAAAGATTGATAACACAGAAATTGAAGAATAAGAGCAAATTGCTGATTTAACAAACTTCCACTTTAAAAACACCAAGAATATACTGCTTACAGTCCACTCCGCATTTATTTTCAGATAATAAAGTCGGTATCTGTCATAACACAATAGATACAGGGTGTTTCAGAACTCGCTCCCTAGAGAAAAATGCTACAGTCAAATTTAAAAAAAAGTGGTTGTCAATGTCATTTCAAAAATTAGTAAGTAATAGATAAATAATAAATAATTTACATTTTGATAACTAACTTGATTTGATGACAAATCACCAAAGTTTATGATGCCAAGTAATTTATTTTTGTTAATTTAAGTACGCTTATTTACACAGGAACAATTAATTTTATGTCAAAATGTGACATTGACGACCACCTTTTTTGAATGTGACTGTATGTAAAATTCTTTTTATACAAATTCCGAAATATGAGAGTTTCAATTTTCCACTTTGACTATTTATTTTTGTTTGAAAAATAATTTTCCAAGTTTTTTTACTACAGGCTATTTTAGAAAAGGAAAAATTTTAACTATGTTTAACGTTATTTGTGGCTTTTATTGGCAAAATTTTTGTACCATTACTAAATATTTATGAAAAAACATATACAAGTCATCAGTATCATTAAATTGACATAAAATCATGTCAAAAAATGAATGTCAAAATTTTTTGACAAATTGGATTTTTTAAACATTTTCCCCATGTTCCTCCTATCTTATCCTTACTTAAATTTTTTTCTCTGAGGCGCGAGTTTTGAGACACCTGTATATTTTTTAATATTTAAATAGTAGATTACAAGTAAGTAAGAGATACTTAGAAATCACTTTATGAAACAATAAAAGTAAAATAACTTGATTTTCTTTGGTGAGCCATATTTAGGCATTATGTTCCTCCAAGTGGCGTGGTTGAAATTGTTTTTTACAATTCACAATTTTCATAATTTAATTTAGTCATTTAATTCAAAAATTTATGCCTAAGGACTTTTTGCTCGTCTCGTTTACTTACTTGCCTTTTGTCATTTAGAATAGCATTTCGAAAATTTTGAAAGAGGAGTTTGTTGCTTAATTCCAACGCGAATTCTCAAATAATCCATAAGTGTATTAATTTTTATAAAAACTCAGAAATAAACGAACCAAGAACAACAAAACATCTTACATTTTACAGCATGAAAGTGTCTTAAAACTAAAGTTTCAGGAAAAATGTAATTTAGTTCGTTTCAAAACTAGGGACTTGACTTAGAAATAATGCGGAAAAGGTTCATATTTTTTATACAAAACATATAATATGTAAATTTTGAATAATGTACTTATGTATGTAATAATATTTATGTTCTTCCTGAATCATATCGAAAGTAATGATTTTAGAGGTTTTCCTCATTTCTCAGTGATTTATCGCCTAACATTATGCACTACTCACTGTTACCAAAAAGTTACATTCCACTTCTTTTAAAATGCTTCGTTTAATTTACGTGTCAATGGGACGCGTGATATGAATTAAATATTTTCACAATTATTTTAATTTACGACAATAATGACAATAATTTTACATTACATTAAACACATGATACATTGATAATCCTTAATATCCTAATTCTGGCAACAGAACAAAACCATTTGACTCGATCGATGCGATGTATTGTATTTTATAATACATTCATTTGAACTCTTATTTTGTTTATTTTGCAAAAACTCATTCAAAAGCGAGATTCGTAAAACATTATTTTAATGCAAATTCACTGATTTGCTACATTTCTGGTTAAATTATTTACAAAAGGGAAAATTGTGCTACATTTTATGTGGATCTCATTAAAAAAAAACAACCTCAAATAGGTCAGATGTAAGTTTCAATTTCTTGCAACATTTTGTGTTTCTGTTATAAGCACTGGTGTCTTATCTCTGGGACGGCCTGTATACTTAAAATTGTGTCGTATCAAAATTACAATAAATTGAGTTTCTTTCAAATTTCGCTTGGAAATGATAACGTGCGATCAAAGAAAAAAAAATTAGAGTAGGCGGTGATTAAGATGGCAACTCTGATTTTTGACTTCAAATGTCAGCGGAAACTTTGACAAGTTTGGGTTTTATTCATTTTGAGTGAAATAATGTTCACTTTGGAGCAGAAAATATTTATTGCTGTACAAGACGAAAACGGTGAATGGTCATTTTCACTTCCAGTTTTGTGGAAAATTTCCAGCAAAAATTGTTGCCAACTGTAGAATATTAATCGTCGTTTACTTTAATTTTTTTTGATTGCATGGTACTAAGGGTCGATTTATAGAAGGCGAATTAAAAATTAATTTGTTGTTAAAAGTTAATGCGCGATTAACCCATCAATCTGAGCATCTGGTTGGTTCAACTTAGTCACGTGATCATTTAATTTGACGTTTAATTGCAATTGACTTAATAACGCTTTTATAAACCCATTTTGAGTTTATTAATCGGCGATTAATAATCTCAGCAATTAACGTGCTCGCTTATTAATTAATCTCTTAAGTTAATAATGTTTTGAAGTAACAACCAACAACTTATTTTTCTCTCGGTAAAGTTTAAAGTGAATAAAATATTTGAATTTTTGTTGTAGGCGACTTCATCATTACTTACATGTGGACCAGTGGTCGGAAGTGATATTTTACAACGCCATTCCATCAATTCATTGTTGGATCAAAATGATATTTTATTGGATATCGATAATAAGAACAAACTAATGTACAATAATTTTATGGGTAAGTAGATATGGCAAATATTAAAAAAATATTTTGTGTTCTATAACTTTGAAATTAAGTTGGCAATATCAAACACTCTAAAGTCTGTTCTATTTAATAAACAATTGTTGATGTTAAATTTTTATGAAAGATTCTAAATCTGCGATGTTTGGACTAGCTGTATATACAATTTAGTAAGGTTATGTAGTACCTGTGTGGTACTGGGTTGAGAAAAATAACAATAATGATAGTTGTAGGCAGCGCTGCCAATCGTGAATTTGAAATTCACTATTAGCTGTTAACGTGTAAGTTTTACCAACATAACATTTTGACTATTCTTTTTTAAATGAAACAAACTTTAGAGACAGAAGTTAAAAGACATGTCATGTATTGTCTGGCTCTATATTTTTCAATGTTGTCAACTTAATTTCAAAGGAACGCAACAATTTGATCAGTAATTTAACTGAACACATGGTACCGTGCAATCAAAAAAAAAGAAAATTAGAGTAGGTGGTGATTAAAGTCCTTCAGATGGCAATCCTGATTTTTGACATCAAATGTCAGCGGAAACTTTGACAAGTTTGAGTTTTATTCCTTTTGAGTAAAATAATCTTCACTTTAGAGCAGAAATTTTTTATTGCTGTACAAGAGGAAAACGGTGGATGGTCATTTTCACTTTCAGTTTGTGTGGAAAATTTCCAGCCCAGATTCCCAGCCAATGTGTTGCCAACTGTAGAATTTAATCGACGCCTACTCTAATTTATTTTTTATTTGATCGCACGGTATTTTGAAAAACGTTCCAGATGGCGAAAATATTGAAATTGCAAAATTCAATATTTATTTTTTAAATCATTTTGAACACTAAATACAAATTTTGAAATTAGGGTGGTAGTCATAGAACTCGTCTTACGCAATTTAAATGTTGACATTTGTAGATTGACAATACATTTTTGACAATTTTTAAAATTCATTGTGAAGCGAGTACAGTACATTTTACAATTAGATTTTTAAAATAAAGATTTTATTACCTTGAAATTTGATTTTTCTTAGTCAAAAATGCCAGTAACATCGACGTTTCTGTTTGTAGACTGGTTTATATTTAAAAATGTATAAACAAATGTAGATATAAGCTGTGAATATGTGACAAGTTTAAAGTGAGGTTACTATCTAAAGGCCCTTTTACATAATTAATATAAATTGCTGTCTCATTTTTAGCCGCGAAGATAAAACGTGGGTTCATTGTGCTATAATATTAATTAATGGAGTATTTTTGAGTCATATTACAGAAAATTTTGAAATTAGTCGATTTTGTACGAATATTTGGACACTTTCTATCTTGTTACAAACAGAAATTCGGCGTGCATTATCCCGTTGATAACTTTTTTCGTTTTTTTTTGCCCCTGTAAAAACGCACACAGGTGGCTTTGCTTTTGAAGTTAGTCCGTTTTTAGCAAGCAAACGATCACTTGTTTTGAAGTTTGAAACGCGTTAATAATTGTTTTAACAAGTAATTTTGTTATTGAATAATAAGATTTCGATTCAATTAGATGACACGATGTCTATCAGCGACTTATTCAGACTAGATTCACCGAGGGGACTGTTGGATTTTGCAAATTCATCGACAAATGGACTCTGCACGCCACCTGTCACCGCCCCAAATCTGCAGGTAATTTTTTATTTCTCATATTTCTCAAAATAATCATGATTTAAATCGTAATGTGGCCTCATTTGAGTTGCTTGCAAAATGTCCAGACTTTGGAGTAAATGGAGTAAATCACGTTTCGGGGCGTTTGGCACATGTTCATAATTGGATCATAAATTTCTTGTAAATGTGCATTTTCCAGTGGGTTTTTGATTGGAAACACGACAAACGATCCCATTTTCCATAAATTGGTTCAAATTTGAGGCGTACGCCATAATTTTAATGTTAGTCACGTGATTCGATGCGATTGGTTAAGACGGCCATATGCTAAGCGGCGCCAAATTCAAACTTTTTTTATTCCGTAGTTGATTTTTGACGAAACGAAGTTTTCATCGTCAAGTACGTACTCGCCGATAAATACCCCCATGAACCTCTCGTTGGACAGTTCATCACCGACTTCGTCCGGTTATTATTCAGGGAATTCTTTGGCGAGCTCTTCACCTGGGTGAGTGTTTTCGTTATCGGCACATATTGCAAACTTTCGATAAATTTTTACTTACAGTAGCGATTTTTGTGGTCACAGCAGTCCGGGTATTATCGGACGGTCACTATTCAATTCTGATTCCGGTTCTGAATCACCGGATTCGGACTCCAGTACTGCCTCAAATGCTGAAGGAAAGCTGTCCGAGTTACTGGTATGTTTTAATTTTAATTAGAAAAAATAGAGTTAATACACTTTGTTCTTTGCAGAATACTTTAACTTTGAATGACAATTTGGCCAAAAGTTTGTACAAGAATACCGATGTGGATCTTCAGGCTCTTCAATTATACAGACTTCAAGCTCTGAAGCACTTATATCCTTCGAATGTTTTGGGATCTCTTTTACCACCCGCTTGTTCTCATGCTACTCCGGTAAGTTGTATTTCAAAATAAAATTTTTTTTTATTTTACTGAGAAATAAGTTATTTACCGGTAGACTGATATTTAGCACAAGAATCAGAATGCATATTTTTTATCTGAGGTCATTGAAGAACAAAAAAAAATATTTTTGGTAAATAGTAGAACTTAAATAATCCGAACTAATTATCGCAATTGATTCACCGCAGAATCCAACTTTTTTTTAAATTAAAAATGAACTGAAAGATGTGTGATTAGATACAATACATGCAAAATGAATCTGTTAAAAGTATATTGCAACTTTTTAGCAAAAAATTATACTCAAAATTGAGCGTTTGTCATTAATAAATAGTAGATTATATCATTAAGAATAGAAGTGAGTGGTTTTGTGCTAAGTCCAGAGATTGAAGGCCGAGTGTCATGAGGGCGAAGCAGAAAAAGACCTATTCTGAGAGATAAGAGATCACAAACAAACGGAAATTTGAACTTTGTTTAATTTTTAGGGTTAAACGGCCATCTTGCTATTTTTAATTTTGATATCTGATATCCGTGCACATGGGCGACGTTTCTTACATGACAGGCCCTGTTTAAATATTGGGTAATAATTTTGTTATTTTGCTTATTTCGAGTTTTTTTAATAGAGATAATTGGACTATTAAATAATTCGTGTAACTATTGATAAAGAAATAGTGATTTCACCGTGTGAAATCCTTCTAATGTTCACATATTTGATTCGGTTGAGTCGCCTCTGTGGATATTTCAACCTCTAGGACTTGAAGTATTTCAACTCCGCTTACAAAAAACACACTTCAATCGTTTCTATCGAGATACACAAAGGCACAATAATTATTGACCGCTTGAAGATAAAAACTTTTTTTTTGAGTATAATTTTTTTAGATCGTTTTATCGAGGTTCCTACCATTGCTAAGTAATAATATATAAACATTACTTTTGTCTTTTATAATTCGTCAAAAAACTCTTATTTTTATTTTCTTTAAACAAGTTATGCTCAAAAGAAATATTGTAAATAAATTGTAAAAACGGAAATTATCTGAAAACACTAATAATTTAGTTGTTGTTTTTTGAGACAGATTTTACATAGCATTTCTAAATCGAATTTAATCCACTTTCTATCAACAGTCTACCCTCTGTAGACTATTCTAAAACAGCCTGTACAGTGGTTACACCTACAACTTAAACAATTATGATACCACCACAGGTAGTACAGTGAACTTTATGAAGTGATAGAAAAATACTGCCCGAAATTTTAATTCGTAACTGTACTTTCGTGTATAAATGTTTTTGTTCTATTCGAAATTTTTATAATTGAAATCATAAAAAAACGAACACTGATTTTTAGTAAATAAACTACATGTTTTGTAAAAAAAAATTGTATGTTTTTTTTTAATTTAAGTAATGACGTACGTATGTTGTGCTTAATCTTTTAACTACCTATAAACTTTTTTTGCTAGAACATAAACGTTTCATTTGAAAATGCTGATTTCATCGAATATGTCTGCTTCTTTTTTTTAAGGCTGAGCAGAAAACTAGATTATAAACAGGCTGATTCAAAAGTATCATACTATCTCTTGGCTAAAGGACATCCAAGTGAGTTAAAAGTTGCCAAGACAAAAAAGTGTTTGAGCCTTTTTTCACGAGGTATAGCTCTTCAAAAATTAGATTTTGGGTTAAGTTTTTGACCGTTCAAATTATGTATTCTCAAATTTTAAAAATATCTGTTGAATAAATCACCAATTTTTGTCCTGTGGTGTACAAAATGTATGTGTTCAAGACAAAGACACATACTTTTAAACATGACAGGAGTTTACTATTGCATTTTACATTTTGGTGGAGGCGCCGGGAAAATACAAATGTATGGACAAAAATTTATAATACTAAACAAAATTATATATTTACGTAGTTTGAAAGTTTGAAAAATAACTTTTAATTAATTTAAAACAACAGTCTGATAGTTTGATTTTTTTCAGCATCTGTTGGATAAATGGAACCCGAGTTCATCTTTAGCTAGCATACCCGAAACCTTTCAACTTGAAAGAGCGGCCCGATTCCATCGTTCGGCAGCAGGTAAATTAAAATGGATAATTTGCAGAAAAATAATATAATTACCACTGACACAATTTTTTTAGCTGTTTGTGACGCAACGTGCACCTGGAGTGGCGTTTTGCCTCCACGTACATCGAAACCTTCAGGTTATTCCAGCAAGGTATTTTTGGGCGGAGTTCCATGGGACATTTCCGAACAGGCACTCATCCAAGCATTCAAGCAATTTGGACCGATTCGCGTCGAATGGCCGGGCAAGGAAAAGCAAATTTCTCAACCAAAAGGATACGTTTATATAATCTTTGAGTCGGAGAAGATCGTACGAGCTTTGCTACAAGCTTGTACAAGCGATTATGCCAATTCTGGTAATTGGTATTACAAGATTAGTTCAAAACGTATGAAAGCTAAAGAGGTAAACGAGAAAGAAAATCATAAGGAATTATTTATTTAAGCAATAAATCTGGATCATTTTTTCAGGTGCAAGTCATTCCGTGGATCCTCAACGATTCAAATTGTACGAAATCAACAACTCAGAAGTTGGACCCCAGCAAGACTGTCTTCGTTGGAGCTTTACATGGAATGCTGAACGCTGAAGGTTTGGCTAAAATCATGAACGATTTGTTTGACGGTGTTGTTTACACTGGAATTGACACTGACAAATACAAATATCCGATCGGATCTGGACGTGTTACTTTTAACAATCCTCGGTCGTATATGAAGGCTGTTGCTGCGGCTTTTATTGAGATTAAGACGTCGAAATTTAGCAAAAAGGTGAGTAAGCTTTCTATTCTATATGTTTAATACAGCGAACAAATTAAACCACAAAAAATATTTTTGGAACCAATAGAATAGATAAATTTTTCCTAACTCTTATAGTCTAAGAGCCCGCGGTCGACAGACCTTTCGAATTTCTAATATTATTCCGAAGAAAATATAAAAAAATTACGCTTTTTTATTTGATCATTTTAAGTTAACATTTTTTACTTCTTTGCTACCTGTTATCTCCCAAAGCCACGACGACCCAAACTTCATTCTTGCCCATCGTTTCTACCTGTGTTGGTAGTATGCGCTGACAAATTTTCAGCTTTTATAAAATGACGAAGGTCTGGCGATCGCAGGCTCTTGCTCTATTACGATACGTAACGTGTTGGCTTCTTAATGTTGGTACCACTAGCAAATTCGTGGTAAATTAAATCAAAGGAGTGGTCAGTTTCGATTTTTGATTTATTTTGATAAACTTATCTTAAATTTTGAACCAGAAATAGACGAGTACAAAACTATCATGAATGAGAAAGAAAAGAAGAGTATCTGGTTTCAATACATTTAAGAACTGGGTTGAAAAAGTGACAATTTTGAAACTAAATGGATTTTGAACTCGCATCAATTTCAGACTCATTACAAAAAAAAAAAAATTGCCACACCCTTTTTGATAAAATTTTTGAACGTTATCATTTTTATCCGTAACACATGTCACTTAATTAAATAAGTACATTTTTTGATTTGTTGAAATTATAGAATTTGATCGTTTGAAATTTAAAACATCTAATGAGAAAAGGAAATATATTTTTTTAGATATTACTAGTAATGATTATAAAATTTTTATTTCGATCTACATTTTCTATAAGATCAAATGTTTCTTTACTTTTGGCCGATAGTGTACATTTACAGGGTATGTCAGAACTCGTATCCCATAGAAAAATATCAAGTAAGATAAGATACCAAGAACATGGGAAAATGTTTAAAAAAATTTATATGTCCAAAAATTTTGACATTTGACATTTTTTTATGTCTGTATCTTGGTTTGTCTTTTTATAATTATCTAGGAAAGTTACAAAAATTTTGCCAATAAAAGCCACAAATAATGTTAAACAGAGTTACAATTTAGGAAACAGAGTTACAATTTAGGATGGATTCCTATTCCTATAGGTTCCTTGTTTCCTATTCTAACAGCTTATAGTCAAAGTGCAAAATTTAAATTACAAAATTTTATAGATAGAATTTTTTTTAACATTTTTTCCATGGTCTTGGTCCACTGGCGGACACGGAATTTTGGACGGTTTGTCATTTGACTGACATAAAAATGTAAAACGGGCCTTAGGGCAACTAACCACACTTTCAGTTTTTATCATTTTTATCCTGATACCTAGAGAAAATACTATAACAACAAATCAATTTTTTTTATTGAACTTACATAAAAACACGAATTGCTGACATTGCTTCGGAAAATCGACGCCCAAAATAAATTTCAACTAAAACTTTCAAATTTTAGTTTCAAACGTCAATCATAATGACAATAAAGCGTGGCTTACATTGACATTTTTTGAAGTGACTAAAATTTGATGTCCAAAATTCCGTGTCCGCCACTGTACCATATCTTAATGGCATTTTTCTCTGGGGCGCGAGTTCTGACATCCTGTATAAACTAATATTAATTTTTGTAATTAGTTTATTAAAATTTGAAAATATTATGGAATGCTTAATTAGAAATATAGAAACGTTTTGTAAAATAGTCTATTACAAAACAAGTTTTATAAGACAGTCTTGAAGCACGAATTCAAGTTTAAAAAACGAGTGCTTTAAGGTCTTAAGAAATAATTTTTTTATACTAATTTTGTACTTTGCCCCCTTTATGCCTCTTTTAAACAAAAAAATTAACTTTAATCGATTTAGGGATTGCTTGACGTTTTGTAATGTCTTAATTTTAAAAGTGAAAGTTTGATCTAGTTACCTTTTGACTATTAAAACATCGCACATGATGACGTCGCGTTCTTTAATAGTCTAATGTCTTTTATTAAAGAATCAAAATGGAGGCTAAATATAAAAACTATTTTACTAGCTTAAAGACAGCAAAAATAGCAGATTTAAAAAAAGAATACGAATCTTTGGTGTTTTTTTTGTTTGTATACCAAACATTGCATATTTATACGATATGAATGTGAGATTTCTATTGTAAAACACATTGAGGCTCGTTGACCTGCAATATTTTTTCACAATGTTAGGTGCAAGTGGATCCATACTTGGAAGACTCCCTGTGTTCGGTGTGCAGCGTCCAGCAAGGGCCTTACTTCTGCCGCGACATCTTATGCTTCCGTTACTTTTGCCGCACCTGCTGGCAGTGGCAGCACAATAACGGATTACGTCATCACAAGCCGTTAACAAGGAATTCAAAAAATAGTCCTGGATTGGTAGTGACCAATCCAAATTAAACTAAAAAAAATCGAGGGTGAATAGTCGTTTGACTATTCACCTTCGATTTTATTTGATAATTGTGGAAGAAAATGCTTATCGTACACGGCGTCTTAAAATTTCGTTTTCCATTATATAATCTTATTATTCTTAGATGTAGGAAATGTTACATTGTTGTTGTTTTTAGTGTAGGTTCTTTAAAGTTTTGGCTATTTAAAAAGGAAAAAAAAAATGATAATATTGGTAGCCGCAAGAGTTTAATAACTCTGCAAAATTATCTGTTATTAGTTTTTAAACAACTTCTTATTCCTGATTTAATTTTAAAACAAAATGTGAAGCTTAACAATGAAATCTAACGCATTTTAATAATGATGGTTACGTATTTGGAGACAGATCTTACAGTATTATCGAAAAAAAAATCCAAGTAGCTAACACCAGTGTTTTATATTAGATTTGAATCTTTTCTTCAGTGGTTAAACTAATAGTTTTAAGCGTTTGATAAATAATTTTAAATCATAATTTGTACTGCTAATTTAACTCTAAATTTAAGTGGGTAGTTGGGTAACGTAATACAGTAGAAAACTGTAAAAATAGGACTGATTCGGTATTACGAAATGCGACGTTTTTTGGCTACCGATATGTTTCAGTGCTTATCAGTTTAAGATTCTTAAACTATTGTTTTCATTACAATTATTAAATATCATGCATAACTCATTCCGACTTTTTTTATTTACCTCAGGAAACCAAAGTTTTCTGTTTTGTTTTTTTTTTCTTAGAATTTTTTTTATGTTTGTTATCCTTGTTACCAGTATTCGTTTTGTGATCGTAGCATGTAAGACTTTTTAAATTAAGTTGGTAAGATTTTTTTAATTGTAGTTGTTACCTGATAAATTTTACCAACTTCTAGTTCCTCTTTGGGTGTGTTATTAACATTACTAATTAATAACGCAGAGATCGAAATCTTCCTGATTATTTAAAATTTAAACTAAATTTTTAGCTCATGTGACTGTTTTTGACGGGCGATTTCTTTCTCTGTTTTTTATTGCCTTGAGCATTTTAATTTTTAACATTTTAACTACAAAATTACAGTGGGGCACAACGAAATATAGATGTTGCACATTTTAAATTTTAAAGGTACATTTTAATCCATTTGAAAAATTCAACTGCCATATTTTAACTTGTTTTAGTCTTCAAAATCTATGTTTTATGTGCTTATAACAATTTTAAATTAATGGGCGATTGTAACAATTTCGTTTTATTTTCCCCTTTGTGTTGTTCTCGTGCTAGTCCCAATGTTTAAACATGTACTCCAAGTTTCCCAATAAAGAGAATTTTTGTTTCATGCTTAGTTTTATTCAACCATTTCAAAATTACAAATCTCTTTTAGCGTATATTTGATATATACCAAGTATGGACGACGTTGTGGCAATCAGACCAACCTGCCACGTGTTCAACTTAGACGACCAAAGAAATCCCTTAGGTAAGGTATTGACGGCATGCACGAAATCCAAACACAAACGAACACACGTCAACACTTCATAGTTTCTTCGCAACAGCATTTTCTCCAACGAAATTCTAAAAAATGTCAAACTGAAGAGACGACCGTTTTTCTCAAAAAAAATCATCAAATTTAATAAAGAAAGACGCCAGTTTTTTACTCAGTCTTAGAATAATCAAACTTTAATTTTTCAGGAAAATTTAAAGAGCAAAAAGGGTGTTTTCCTTGAAATTGCTCTTCAAAGTGGACAAAAAAATATCCTGAAATTGTCTACAAAACTGATTATTGACTGAACAGTTCAATATTTTGTGCTCGTGTCACTTCTATTTTTTTTACATTTTACAGATTTGGTGTGAAAACATACCATCATACCAACCTTTCATCATTTTTAACAGCTCCACAATATCTGTGTTTTTGTAAAATACTGACGTAACGTAAACTCCTGCAAGTTTGAGATTAACAAACGCTACTTCATTATCAGTGCCACTCGCCTCATTAAAGTTAAATAAATGGAAGACACCCAAAATATGGAACTGATTGTATCCCATTTATTATTGTCCACTCCAGTGATTAGTTTATGTTCAGCTAACCACGCCACTTTCTCAACAGGATAGTAAACTTGATCAAGTATATTTGTCGTTACTCCTAGGGCCGCCATTAGTTTATCAGATTCCTAAATAAGAGACAACTTAAACTTCCAAAACGTGATTTGTATCTAACCTCTTTGCCAAATCCATACTCAAGATTGTACTTCAACATTGGCAAATCATCTAAAAGTCTCAAGGTGGCTCGAGTGTTCGACATGTGTCTACTAAATAAAAGGAACTTGTCGGCAAGCACTTTGTTTCCATGCAGCCCCCCGATTAATTTCGTTGTGTAACATAAGGTACGTAAAACCTGCATTACGAAAATTAAAACCAAATTATAATTTTTAATTAGTCATTTACCTTATCTCTGCCTTTGTACGTCTCTAATAATTTACAAATTTCGTCGAGGAGAGTTAAAAAATAGCTAGTCATTTCGGCGATTGCTTTCACACTCGATTTTTTGAATTTATTTACATGACATGTATGTTGTTCACCTTAAAACGCTCGGAGAAGTTTTGACCAAGGTGATCATTATCAAGGAAATGTTATCATTACTTTCATTTTCACTCGAGCAATAGGAAAGCGATGAAAGTCTCATTGTGGTGACCATGACAGATTTGACGTTTCTAACCTCTGACAGCGCTGAGCGCTGCCAACCTATAACCTATTAAGAAAGAAAACCTTATTTTAAGAATATAAAATACAGGATATTTGTATAAAATATAGATATTTTTAAATTATAACTTATAACATATAAAATAAATACCAAAAAAAATCTAGCGTTTTTTATATTTTGCACATTTTCAATTAAAAATTATTCTTGAAATTTAACAAAAAAAATTCTACAAATTGTTAAATTATTAAATAATCCCACTGTCTTTTTTTATATGTTAAAAAATCTTTAACAATAAATCTCTCAAGTTGGCAACGTTGACCTCCAATGGCACTAAAAATGTGAAATTTAAAAATTACCAATTTAGAATATCGAATCATTCGTAATAAACTATCACAATACAAAATTAATTTACTTTCCATACTATACTTTAATTCATTTATGGTACAGTTCATTTACCGGTACAGTTAGAGACAAAATATTTTGGTCGTCAATGTCACTTGAGTGACATTAAATTGTAAAGCATGCTTTAGGTCTGCAAACCTTATTTTTAGCTACTGTCAATTATTTTTAGCTGCCATTAATTTGAAATTGTCATTCATTTTAACGTTAAAGCTTGAATTACATTAAAGTGTCAGAAAAGTGACGACCAAAGTATTTTGTCTCCAATTGTACTCCGTAAATTCAGAATGCTATGAGTATTTGACATTTAAAATTGTGACAGTTTGAAGTTAAAATAAGTGAAAATTTGGGTGAAAATGTGCAAAAATGACAGTGAAGTGTAAATTTAACGCTTATTCCTACAAGAAATTGTTCAACAGGTCATATTTACCACAAACAGTTTATTACCTATAAAATCAGCTAACATTTACGAAAAATTCTACTCTGCATTTGTAGGTTGGGGCAAAAATAAGGTAAGTACGTTTTACAAAAATGTTTAAATTGCCTTTTTTTATTAAAATTTGTATTTTGGTTGTGGTAAACTTTTGATATGGTTTATACGTTTAATAGATTTTGAAAATATTTTTTATTATAAGTGGTCGTAGAAAAAATATTGTATGCAAGTCGTATTTAATGGCTAAAAAAGTTAATAGTAATATTTGAATTTTTAAGGAGATTCTTGTATTTGTTCGGTATATCTAGAATGTTTTTTCCAAGAATTTTAATATTTTAGGAATTTCATGGAATTTTTCAAATAAAACAAGTATATCTAAAAATATATTAATCATATAGACACATATACACATGAGTTTTCAATAAATTACTACAACAATATGTACAAAAATCAATTTTAATTTTTTTTAATATAATTTGTGTTCAGGTTAAGTACAAAAAGTTTTACTAAAATAAATTCACACATTATATCCTATGGTAAACATTCCACATCTGTTATAAAAAGAAGAAATATAAAGTAGTTTGAGTCGATTTTAGGAGGTAGAAAATTAAGTGAGAATACTCATGTAATTAATTATTTATACAAAAAATACTCGTATATAAATATATGGGTGTCACAGTATAATGAATGTAACAATAGTATGAGTTAACAAACGAGCTATTTACAAATAAAAATGTTCTGATGTATGTAAGTTTTGACTGAAAAATGGTTCCTTATCTAACCAACAATCTCAGAAGCAAATTTCAATAATTTATAAGAACCGTTCTAACAAGTTGCAAAATTAATTATCCAGTTTAACGAATTTAAATGCAACTTGTCGGATTGTGAGTTCGAAGATTTGCTTCTAAGATTATTTCTCGGCATTTAAAAATAAATAATACAATGGCATCTGTACATAAAATTAATTTGAATTAATTATTTTTTTCCTAACACTGGGTCAAAAGAATTGAAGCCAGCGTGCGGAAATTCGGCCCATTTGCTGAAATCTATGCTCGGTATGACTCCACTTCGGCACGGCACTCTTGGGTTACTAAAACCAAACATTTAAATTTTTGCAAAAAAAAATCAAAAAAAGGTTACATTTCATGATCCGGCAGTACCATTGGGTACAACTGGATGGTATCGATCAAATCGGTGTTGTCACAAATAATACGCGCCAGTCTCGCTTTTCTGACTTCGTGGAGTTGCTCGGGGGTGAAAGACGAGGGTTGATTTGGCAGTTCATACCTGAAAATTTTTTTTATTTTCGTTTCCTGTTACTCTAAAAATTGCACTAACCAAAAGCGGTCACCCCGCCTTGAATAACTAAACTGGGTGGCGATGATGCAAGCAAAAGTGGGGCCTAACATACTGCCAGGAAGGGGGCGTTCGGAGACTCCTCCCGACCACAGATCGACATCACTCGGGTGCCTAAAACGCAATTTAGCTCACTCTTACTCGAAAGTGTAAAACTTACTCAAAAATGGTCGAGTATTTCCTCACTGTTTCGTTGGGCATGGATCCGAACAACTCGTCGAAATTGTTGGCTCCGGGAAGGCCGCAGAATTTCCGGAATTCCATATAGCCCGGAATTCCAAATTCGCGACCTCGCTGCATGTTTAGACTGACTAAATCCATACCGAAGCGTGCACCGACTTTTTTGAACAGATGGTTTGTGACCTCTTGGGTGATGGAGTCGTCCATGGCTTGGGCCACTTGGTTCATCAGACCCATGAGGTACTCGTCGAAGACTCCGGCTCGGTATAAGTCATAGGGGCGGCGAATTAGATCAGAAAGGCGTTTGGAGGCTGGAAAAAATGGAAAAATTGGTTTTGAAGGGGCTAAAAATTTTGAGGTCCAAAACGACAAAAGAAAGAAACTTAAACTGCTTTCAATCATGGGCGCGGGCGCCAATTACATGGGTGCATCGTGGTGGATGCACTCATTGAAAATAATATACTTAGCTTTTAGCTTAAGCTAAAAAAATAATAGTAATAACTCTTAATAATATTTGGAATATCGTATTTATTCTAATCCTTTTTTAGTAACGTTGCATTCGTTAAAATCACTTTCAATGTCAAAGATGTCTTAACTTTTATACTAGATATTCTATTTTCCCCTTTGAGCAAATGAATGAAATTCATCATGTATGTTATTCTAGATATTTTGTTTTTCTATTTTTCAAATTAATTAAAAATTAAGCTTTTCAGTGAAAAACTCCTTGACAAAAGGTTTGTTATTATTCCAAATACTTCAAAACGACAAAACTTCTATATAAACTTTTTATACATATACTATTCCAAAAAATTAAGGGAACAAAAAATTTCTTAATTTTTTTGGTGATTTTTTTAAAAACTATGCCTCAATGAAAAATGGTTGTATCTACATTTAAAAAAAAAACGTTTTGAAGCTTCAAGTCCAGGGTGATGTTAGAGCGACAAAGTATTAAGTCCAAAGAGAGGTCAATCCATCTAAAAAAAAATATTGTGGAAGCAAAAAACATAAAATCACTATGTAGTAATTTGAGTCGGAATAAAATAATGCCAATCGTTAATAATAGAACAGCACTAACAAATTTTTACCAATTTTTGAAAAACAAGTTCTTCATAGAATTGCAAGAAGCAGTTTGTTTCTGGTTGCATTTTATTGCCAGCTACTGGCCGAGAAAAAATTCAAGCATAACAAGATTAAGAACTACATAAAAAAAATTATTTCCAAATTTATATGCAAAAAGTGAAAGTTTGCAAATTATTTTTCCTTGATAACATTGTCGATTATTACTGGATTTTTACTCGAAGCTCTCAAAAAATGTTTGACAACCGGAATAACCATAGCTAATTAATAAAGTGATCAAAGAGAAAAGAAAATTCCTATAAACAAAACCCCGGATAATGTAGAAGACAAATTAGAGGACTTTTTGGACTTCATTTATTTATTTTTCTTGTGTTTCTTGTGATGATGAAAGCTAATATATTTATAATTTATATTTATGAATATTTTTGAATTTAATTAACAGATATAGAAAAAATATATTTTAATGCAAATTTTACAGAATTTCAATTTAAGCGGAAAACCAGGAAAATCATTTACATTTGCCATAATCACTCCTTCAACTAAAAAATGAACGAAAACTCATCAGTAATGCAAAATAACATACGATAATCAGAGGAATATCAGAATTATTACAGAAATCTTCCTTATTCAAAATGCTGAAGATTTTCTGGAAGATAATTAATTTTCCCACTTAATAAATGTATTGTTAAAAAATGTCATTATAAGTTAAACGCATTGAACAATAATTTACACCTTGGACTTAATTTATTTTAGCTTTTTGCATATTAAAAAAAAACCGTTATATATTTAGGGCGCTAAACTATTAAGGCCCAGTTTCATAATACTTCCTTTAAAGTCCCTTTAGTTAAAGGATATTTAAAAATTAAAGTTCCTTTAAAGCGACTTTAAAATTATTGCATTTCATAATAGAAAAATACATCATCTTTAGTTAAAGTGCCTTTAAGTAAAGTTGGTAGAACTTTTTTTATGTTTGCGTGCGCTTGCGTTACGTATTTTTGATTTTAAAAATGACATTATTCAAATTTGACAACTTTACTACAATTAAACATCATTTAAATAATTTGAACTTAAAATGAATAATCAAAAGCGCAAAAGATCATTAAATTTTTCAAAAGAAGAAGAGATCTGTTTGTTAGAACAAATTGCAAAATACAAACATATTATTGAATGCAAAACTACTAATAAAGTTTCTCAGTCCGAGGTCCACTTACAACAAAATGTTCCAGAACATAATAACTACTCTGAAATGTTAGATAAAAGTGTGATATTAGTTTCTAATTAAAAATTTTTGTTCTAAATTATTCCTGAATAATTAAGCATTTTGGACTTAGGCTATTTTCGCTCTGAGCTACAGAATTATTAGACGACTATATAATCAAAAATATTTAGTAAAAGACTTTACCTCAAACTCCACGCATAACCTAGAATAAATCCAAATGGGACTCGTAGCATTTAATTCATAAAAAAATCATAAAAATTTATAATCAAAGTTAAAAGCTCCCTGGCAGCGATTTTCGTTGCCGCGTATATCACTCATTCAAAATCCATACTTTTTGCTTTTACCGTTGTGTAGTCCTCATTTTAAATTAAAATATCTTTGAAACAGTCCATTTTAGGGGTATAAAAGGTTATCATGACTGACATGAGCAAAAAAAATAGTGTTACAAGACCAAAAAAAAAACACGAAAAAACACTGAAAATGTGACCTGCAACTGTAGCAACCGGAAATTCAGTAGATGTATCCGGTTTTCGTGATAACTAATTTAAAGGGTATGTTCTCGCAAGTAACTCTGATCCAAATGTTATAATATTTGGTCAAATGGTTACAAAGTTATTACAAAAAAAAAAAACAAATTTTCATACCCACATTCCGAGGGCTGTAAAATAGAGATAGGACACGAGTTATTATTATTTAAATCAACATCATTTTATAGGTCATTTTTGAGATTCAAATATTGCTTTATATTTATGAATTACCCTGTTTATAGGTATAGAAAATTTGAGAAGAAACTTTTTATGTTATTTGTATTGTTTTAAAGACAATTAATTTACCAAGTTTTTTGAAAATATGAAAAGTCGGCAAAAGTTTACATAAAAAATGTACGAGAATTTCAGAAGAGACTTAATAAGCTTGGTATTCTATTTCTGTAAAAACCAACTCACCAATAAATTTGTGTGCCTTGCTCCACCTTTCTACAGCCGTGGGAAGAAGCGAGTGGCCAAATCTGTAAGCCGCAGCTGCGAAAGCGTCAATCACATTCGGGTTAACATTATGGTCATAACCGTCCCAATAGCCGTCTTTCTGTAAAAGCAGACCGAATTTCGCCATCACATCTTTGCCCAAAAGAATCGGAAGGAATTCGTTATAGGTGATGTGTTGGATTTCGGCAATGTTAATACGACGAGCTTCCTATTAAAAAAATAATTAACCAAAAATCGTTTAAAACTTGCTTCTTAATTACTTGGAAGAGTGTTTCATCGTCCCAATGTGGATTAACTTGAGCCAGACCTTTGGCAACTCGGTTGTGCTCACGAGCCATTAGAGTGTGCATGACAGTGAGTACCAACTGTTCATTGACTCGAATTTCACCGGCTTCAAAACAGTACATGGTGCTATTGGGTCTGGTACACCCTTCATCAGGGATGTCTAATTTGAGAGGGAGCAAGTCTTTGAGTCCATACTCCTCAAAAGCCGGGTTCATACGAAGCAGACCAGCGTATCCTGTTCTCAATTTTCGTGCGAATTTTTCTGTAACGCCGTACACAGTGTTGCCATCGAGAACACCAGTCAAAATGTTGTATGGAACTCGGGAACCTAATCTACAGCCGGGTCTAGCAGCCGGGAAAGCCCGAACAAAGTCCAGACATTTCACATTGAACAATCTATAGAAATAATCGTCTTCAGGGATAAGAATTTCGTTACAGTATGGGTGTTTGAGATGTGGGGGTCTGTGGCAGCACTCTTCGGGATCGTTTCTATTTAAAGGATCTAGAAATGAAGTTTAGTATTTGTGAATTATTTGGGAATGAATTACCTAATGGCGTTGCGGTGAGAGTGTAATCATGGTCGATAAATTGTCCCCATGCTATGACCATGACGGTACCGGCGTGATCATGGAAACCTTCATCAGGATGCATGGTGCGGGAGACGACACGGGATAGAGGTAGAGGTCTTCCTGTCACGCTGATACGGGGGGCTGTCATGCCGTCGGCGTACAAGGGGCCGATCAGTCTAATAAAGTAACAAGGTATTTTGATAAAACACTTTTGAGTTTTCATTATATTAACTGCTTTGTTCTTTATTTTGGAAACTGCACACAGGTACGATAACTACTACATTGAAAATTTTTTTAAATTAGAAAATCTCATCGATTTACATTTACAATTTCTTGAAGTTACAGATTAAACGTTGAAACGTACAAATTGTGCAACAAAGCTGCAGAATACAAAATATATGTACGAATCCTACTAACTGTGCCACTTAACCAAAAAGTGGTCTTGTATAATAATAACAAAATGATACAATGAATTCGAAAAAATATTATAAAAAATAGCTCATCTATTTTAAATAAATAGTGGTCTTAAAAAATTTCAAGATACCTACTCTGAAAGAAATTTTCAAACACTTTTTTATCTACCTAGGTTTTTTCTTTCACTCATTTCTGAGACACCTTTATACATTACTTTTATAAAGGAAAATGGTAAAATGTAAAAATGTTGTGATTATAACTAGAACTGGAATAACTGATACTATAGGTAACTAACTAAACGAGTAGAGCTAGTAGGTATAACTAGAATAACTCTAAGCGACATTTTTTCATTTTTTTTCTAACATTGACAAAAATAACTAATTTTGTTTAGAAAATCTAAAAATCATCACTAAAATTCTCCATCACGTAAGGTTTTTTGTCATTTTTGTTTTCATATTTAAAGAGTGGTCGAAGTAATCACTCATATTCACGATATGGACTGAACTAAAAAAATGTATTTCTAATTTTTGATACCTTTTTTCCATGGCACTGATATCTTGATAAAAACGCTCTTGTTTATCACTTTACAGAGTCCTTGAGTTTTGTAGAAAAAAATCGAATCGGAAAATACACTTTTAGAGATATTCGGCATCCAAGTGTTTTCCAATTTTCCAATAGTTTTTAGAAAAATATAGAATAATTTTCATTTCTATTATTACTGATAAATCTGGAAACTATTCTTAAAAGTATTTCAAACAGTTACATAAGTTACATAGGTATTTAATTTATGCACAAAAACTTCATACGGATCACTTTCCAGATTTGAGGTCTTTCTGGGATTAAGAGTTCTTTAAGGCAAAATTGTCTTAGATACATAAAGGATTCATTTTTTATTAGCTTAAACGGAAAACAAATTGATTTGGGATTACAAATCATTAGTAAAACATGGAATTTATTTATTTCCAATAATAATGGCCTAGGTTAATGTTTATTAAAAAATATCTTAATAAAAATGTGACGTGTTGAAAGTTTTTTTATTTTTACCATTATAAGTCAAACGGTGTGTTTTAAGACAGGTAGGTACCAAAAATTATGCTTGTTAAAAAAATCATGTCGCCTAGTGTAATTATTATTCTTATAATTTATTGAGTGTATGTTTTTCTGAATAATTGTTTTTCTCTACATAACATTTTTTTGGATGTAGAATATTTATTGGTTTTATACGTAAATTATTCTGCAACGAAATATTCATTTTTCTCGGTACAGATTTTTTATAGTGAACATTGTCAACAAAAACAACGTTTTTAAGAAGCTTTTAATTTTACTATAAAAGTTTCTAATCACAGGATTATTTGTATTTTTTAAATTATTTGTAGGTATATCAAAATATATTCATCTGTATTTGTTTTTGTGTCGGTTTTAAGTCTCGTTTGAAAATGGAACAAAACAACCTGGATCCATTTCTGCAAAGTAATAATGAAGGACAAGGTATTCATTTGGTGAAAAAAATTTTTGAAAGATTTAATTAATTTGCATCATAAATTTCCACGCCACTGACTACTTTATAATTAATACAAACGTACTCTAACGTAATACTAGCACACATGTGCCATTCATAATTGCGGTTCCAATTAAAAAAATGAATTTCTTTCACCATTCAAGGTAAAGAATTTTCGCACACATTTAATTAAGAATCAATATAATCGTGACCAACTAATGCCACCATATGTGATCCAAACTGTTATTATCACTTGATACATCATATCCTTTATCATCAATCAACTTTTTTACGCGATAATTTATGTGAACTTTCTTTAAGCACAAGTGGCGTTTTATTGAAGAAACTCCGTACTAATTTTAATCACATTTAAATTTTACACGGGATAATTATTCAAATTAATTTGTGAATTTTTACAGCGGCTTTTCGGTGTAAATACCTGTAAATCCTGTTATAAACTGTTGAATTAATAGGCACACAAAATTATTTGAATAAATTAATAATGAAGGAGTTTTTTTCTCTAGAGTGAAATTTTACCTTAATTAGACTTAATAGCCTTTCCTTTAGATAACTTAATAAGATTTTTTTATAAAAAAGATGTAACATTTACCTACCTTGTAAATGGAGTGTTGGTGGCTCCCCAAGTCGGGTGCTCTAAATTGTTACAAAGGCCATCAAATCGCCTGTATTTGCCAGCACGACATTCCACATTTGATAAGTAAGGGGGACAAACTTCACGGATTAAAGTTTTACTTGTGTCAATTAAAGGGAGACCTTTTTCAATATCCTCATAGCTTAGCCCATATCTAAAAACACAAATGTTAAAATTTTGCAAATTTTAAATTTCGGACTCACGTTCGTGCCAGATTTATTGAAATGTCTAGAAGAAGTTCACCAACAGTGGCCACGTCTTCAGGTTTCCAATCTCCATGAGGTTGGGCAATGTCTGAAATTTATATTTTGAAAAAAAAAATTGAATAAAAAAGGTACTCACGTATCCTCTTGCGAGCATCAAGATAAGCCGCGTTGACAGCATCGTAAGTGATGCAAGTGTGTGGACCATTATATTCTCTATTTTTGGGAAAAATAATTTTTGTAACTGTTTGATTGCTGATACTTACAAAGAGCTTCCTCTGAGTAAGTTGAGAGAGTAATCAAAATGACTACTTCGGGGAGGACCGCTGAGGAGAAGGGCACATTCGCCATCACCGTTTCCCGTGAGGTCCACTGGAGTGTATTGGATAGCTAAACCTAGGTTGATTTGGTGTAGAAATGTTGCTACTAACCACCAACTCAGGGGAAGGCTCCCCCTGAAAAAGAAATTATTGTAAATAAAACCTACTTGTAAAAAACTGAAATAGTTAAAACAACTCTATTCAGAATAGTACTGGTTAAAAGCAAGGGTTTTTAGAATACCTGTATTTTCTTATTATAGAAGTAATTTTTAATACTTAAAACAATTTATTTATTATCTTTAACTGAAAAGAAACTATTAAAAAATTCTAATTTTCTAACGGCTTTATTTAAGGATATGTAATGTGGAAAAGGAACATTTTCCTCCTTAAATAGGTTACTCTCATTTAAAATATAATCTTTTCTTATTTTGTAAGTTTGTTTTTCTTTTTTTATTTTTATTTCTTATAATTTCATATACAGGTTGTTCCGGCTAAACCTCACATTAGGAGTAGGTATTGGGAGTTCTAACAATCATAGTCATCTAAAATTTTGCTTATAGCCATAATCGGTTAGGTTAGACCGAAAGTTATGTTTTTTATTGCGTTTTTGAATTACTGAAGTGGTCTTAAGAGAGTTCTCTATACCTAAGTTTGAAATATTTAGATCTTTTTAAAAAATTTTGGATTTGAATCTTCCTTTTTAAAAATCGATAACTTTGCCATTTTTTATTATATTGAAATCGTATTTATGTATACGAGACTAAACGATTGTGACTATAATCAAAATTTTAGATAAATATCACTGTTAGAACTTCCAATACTCCTAACGTGGGGTTAAGCCGGAGCAGCCTGTAAATAATTTCATATAATTCGGATTCTGTACCTATTTTTAATATATTTTTCTTGATTTCTTTTTTAGGATCCAAAAAATATTTTTCTGTTTTCACTCTATGTTTATTTATTGTTTTTTAAATTACGTTTTTTTCAATACCTTTTGTTGAGTTTTTAAACCAACTGCTCTAATATATTTTTTTAACTATTATTTTCCTTTAGGAACTTTTTTGTTTGAATCCCAAATGGTGCAAAATTCAAAAAGCAACTGCTGATGGTGTGCAAGTTTTTTGACTTTTTGTAGATGTCGAACTTTTTGACTATTTTTTTAGTGTTTGAAGAGATCTTGTGTGTTACATTTTGATCAGTTTTCTTTTCTTTGTTATCTGTTTTGACATCATTAACTTGTAGTTCGTGAGTCCATTCATTGCGCTAATAAATATTTACCACATGAAGCAGATCCTATCTGATTCAGCACTATTGGCCGTCTATTACCCAACCAGATGACATCATTGAATCACATGATAGATCTTGCACGACTGCAATTGCATTCTAAAATTGGATTTCACCTTTGTCTTGCATCTAAATGGACTAAAAATCCAAAAATAACAGTCATTCTTTTAAATTGCAGTGTGTCAAGGCGTTTCAACTAATTAAAAAGAAAATTCCAACGAAAAACTCAAAGGAAAGTCGCTATTCAACTCATCCATCATATCCAGGAAAGTGGGAGCGAAATTTAAAAAATCACATTCCGTTCTTATGTCCTATTACACTTAATTGTTATTCTCGACATTAATAAGAACACGCCTTTTTCCTTTCGTTGGTATAAGGCCTAAATGACCTCTATTTGATCTGGTTTTCTCTACAGTAAAATATGAAGACTTTCCTCGTCTAGACAAGAAAGTCGACTTTTTCACACCATCGCCACCAAAATAAAATGCTTTTGAATCACGAGTTGCCAGTGGCGTAACAATCAAGATACGAACAATTGGCGGGTGCGCCACAAGGGTTTGCATATGGACCAATCTTGTTTCTTGTTTGTGACGAAACAACAAGAATAATTTGTCAAAAATCAATTCCGAACTGTTTGTTACAATGTAGATTGTTGAAATGATAAAATAAACATATGCACAACATTAAATCTTAGTTTCCAAGAAGCCTCCACGCACCTATATGTGAAGGTCGCCTCTTTCTTCTTGATTTATCTTAAGAAACTTGAATAATTGCTCAGTTTTAATATGGAATTAATATTTCCGGTTTGTATCTGGTGTAAATCTTTGGCATATTTCGCCATGCATGATAACACACGATTATATAACAATCATTGTCCAAATTGGGGCGACAATTGCATAATAACGAGAGCAAGTGGTTTTAATGAGATTCCGTAGATTGTTTCGCGAGAGAAAAAAATTTGCATTTGCGTCGACTTCCATCGCTGGTTGCAAAATGTAAATCTTGTTCTCAAAGGTTATTATCAAGCTGGTTATGTCACTCAACGGGTTATTACTTATTATTACGTTTACCTAATGGTGGGTACTTGTGATAATTGAAGACAAAATGTTAGTATTGTTATTAATTTCAACTTATCTCAACAATTTTTTACATCTTATTCCATAGTTATAATTCATTTTGATATAAATCTGTAGAATTTTAAATTCAAACATTAGATAGTTAACAGAACTAATAAAATGTTAGTTTGAATTTGTTTTTTTAATTGTTGAGAACTGCATTTCTTTCTTGTTGTACTAGATGTGGGACTTGTATTATTTTTTGTTGTGATTTTTAAGTAATAGTTATTTATTCGACGGGTTTAAATTTGTTTGACTGTTTAGGACGCCCCTGATAAAAATTTCGACATTTCATCTTGGAATTTTTATGTGTATAAAGCTTATTAGCTGTACCAAATTTTGTAATTTTATCTTTTCTAAAATACTTTGAAAAACCTTTTCAAAAACGTATTCCTTTTAGGGGGTGTAACTCTTTTACATAACATTTTTCGAAACATGTTAATAGGAAACCTTTGTCTTAAAATATTCTTTCATTTATTTAAATTTGTAACAATAAAAACGGAACACTCTGTATAAATAACCATTTTGTTCAAAGTTTATTTCTAAACTATCTAATTTCCTATCCTTTCTAATCAAATTTTTGGATTAAATTAAATTTTTTATTTTTAAAGTACCAATGCATAAAGATAGAAGATACAAACCTACTAGTTTTTTTTCATAGTAGGGGCTAGGGGGTATGTATGTACTTACGTCAGTGCGTAGTTTAGTTGGTTTTTGGCTTTGCTATTTTTGTTTTCTAATTTTTATTTTTTTTTACTTTTTTAGGAATAGATTTCATATAACTCTAACTTTGTACCTATTTTGGCGTTTTGTTATTACTTTGAGTTTCTTATTTTAATTCTTTTCCAAAAACAATGTTTTTTACTATTTTCCAAGAAATCATTCTTTTTCGTACCATAGTGAGAAATTTTAAATTTTTTATTTAATTTTGTTGCTTTATTGTCAAAAGATCTAATTTTTAACGGTTTCAAATTCGGAAACTCTAATACTTTTGCATCGGTGTTTTAAATGTTTATTAATTTGTCCAGCTATAAATATGAACACTTACGAGTCTTTTAATGTATATTGTAAACTAACTACTTTTGGAATGTAGTTTCGGTAGTTTAAAGCCCCCTAAGTGAAGTTTCTTAATCGCAGTATTAACAAATATTTTAATTGATCTTCAAGGTTTATATCATATTTTAGCATTAGGCGAATCTTAACCACATGTTGCTTAACCGCTTTGCAAAAGAACTCATAAACCAAACGTAAAAAAAGAAATTAGCAAACAATGCATTTTTATACTCCTCCGGATTACTCCGGACTTCATTCACGCTCACTTTCAGCGAGTCAACAGCGCTTTCGGCAATGCCGAAAGCTTCAAGGTCGATGTTACAACAGGGAAAAATGTCAAAACAGAGACTGAAAATTTAGAAAGTTACATTGCTGTAAACAAATCATAATAGTAATTTATAAAATTGTGGATGTGTTTGTTTTAGAATTCGAGAGTTCTTCCTATTATCTTGAAGATGGACAAACATGAATGCGCTTTCTTCAATTAGCAAAATTTTGAAGAAACAGATGGGAAGTTTTCCGGTTGTCATCTAGATTTGGAATGACTTAAAATAGAGGAGAAATTTAAATCGAGTAAAAGTTGTCACAAGTACAAATGATATTTTTTGTTGTTTATTTAAAAATCATGCGTTAAGAATCATGAAATGACATGATTATATTGCACATTATGCTAGACAAAGCATGAAAAATATAAATTGTTTTTGCATTCACATCAGATGGTTCTGCATTTTAATCACAAGTTGAGGTCGACAAGATTGTTTAAAAATTTTTTCAAAGTCTAATATTTGAACCATATGATACTGCCATTTCCTATTTCCTTGTGAATTTGATACAATTTTTACTAATCATTCAAGGACTAGGTAATTTATGTCACTTTAATTGAAATTCAAAGTATTTTTAGATAATGCTTTTCACAACTAATAAAATTGATAACAAATTTGTTACAAATTGTAATTAAAGCAAATAAATTAAGATTTCTACTTAAAACTTGCCACTTAATTAAAGCGATATGGTCTGAACTTTAGCAGCTCGTAAACAGCTCACGTTTCTTAATAATATATCCTGATTGAGATACCTGACTGTGTTACAAAACACCTGAAATCCGTGTGAAGTTTCGGCAACAAAAATTACTAATTAGTGCAATTAGCCGAGATTATCATGAAGCCAATTAAACGAGTTGAGAAAGATTGACTTTAATTACTTATAAATTTCTAATTCATAACTGAAAAAAACGATAAATTTCCAATTATGATTAAGAGAGATGACATCAAATCCATGAAAACAATTAATTTTTTAATTAATTTTTTGTATTTTTGTATATACATACCCCAATTTTTCGAAATAAACGTGTTAAAGCTAAATAATTAAAATGTGTTTCAATTTGAAGCTTTTTAGCGTTTATGACAAAAATGCATTATGTTTTAGCTTCTTTATAAATTATTCCTTATTTCTGTGTTTTTTACGATTCAAATTTTCTCTTACCCAAAATTTTTGAATTATCGAGCTTCTTTCAAAAAGAAATGTTTTTTGAAATCCCCATAAATTTGTATAATTAAATTAATGAAAAATAGAATTTTTCAATTGAGTACATAGAATTTTATTTGAGGGAAGAATACTGACACAGTAATGTTTTTTTATTCATTTGTAGGCAAAAAAAATATAATTTTGTGAGATATAATTACA